AGCGTCGGCCAGCGAGGACCGATCGCGCTTGAGACGGGCGCTGACTTCGGCACGCTCCTCCTCGGTGAGGAACTTGGCTGTGGAGGGGTAGTCCTGCATGACGAAGTAGGCAGCAATGGCGATGATGACGGTGAGGATACCCTCGAGGATGAAGATCCACTGCCAGCCAGAGAGACCACCGACGCCTCTCATCTCAACGATACCGCGAGCCAAGAGACCGCCGAACGCACCGGCAGCGGTGGCAGCCGAGAAGAAAATGGCCATGCGGAGACCGCACTCGTGGCGACGATACCACATGGTGATGCTGGTGGGCGCCCTGTCAGTACAACACCACAGCGCGGCGAGATATGGGAGAAGCTACTCACTAGTAGGTGATACCGGGGAACAAACCACCCTCGGCGATACCCAAGACGGCACGGACGGCCATGAGGCCGGCATAGTTGTGCACAATACCCATAAGCGTCGTGCAGATACCCCAGGCGACCATGATGCTGGGAATCCAGATGGAGGGGCGGAAACGCTTCATGGCCATGTTGGAGGGGACCTCGGCGGCCACGTAGAAGGGGAAGAAGATGGCGAGGGCATCGTTGTACTGGAGGCGGGCTGAGTCGAGCTTGAGATCCTTCTCGAGGGTGTCGAGACGGGCATTGCCGATGTTGGTACGGTCCAGGAAGGAGAGCAGATAGAGGAGAGCCAGGAAGGGGATCAGCGTGACGTCGATCTTGCGGATGAGCTTCTTGGTGGCCGTCTCGTCCCAGCCGGCGCTCTCGACGGCATCGCTGTCGGTGTTCTTGAAGACGGCCTTCTCGTTGGTGACGCTGTCGGACTCGGTGGTGGGAACATCCCGGTCGGCGCCGGAGACCTCTGCGGCGGCACCCATGATATGGGACGAACCCAGGCGGGTCGCTGGTGGTGTGGGGAGTGTGGGGGGAAGGTGGCGGAAGGGGGATCAAGTCAACTTCAAGACACTGCTGTGCTCAGACAGGACAGTGGAGGTCGGGGACTTGCAGATGCTGCTGCGGTGCAAAGTGCAGGCAGGTGGCAGTTCACGAAGCTAATCGGGAACTTCAGACGACTAACTGGGCCGACAGGGAAGGAGCTAGCGGGATGGCAGAGGCAGAGACATTCGCAAGACGAGGCAGCGATCACCTCGACATCTTTATATACTCCAGCCAGGGACGAGGGGACGAGGGGACGAGGGGACGAGCTGTCCGCACTCAAAGGTCCCCGAGACAGGCAGATTTGGTCGCAATGCAGTCGAATGCAACACCCACGTCGCATCTTTTGGAAATTCCCATGCCGATCCTGGGCTCGTCAGCAGGGAAGGGGTGACGCGGGTCCACATCCTCCCACCTCCCACTTCCCACCATCATGGCCCGCCCGCCCGTTCACGTCAACCTCAACTCTCTCCCTCACCCCGTTCCCCAATTCCACATCCTGGAAAGCATACGGCACACGATGACACCTTGGCCTTCAACGGCCGGGCGGAAACTGGAGACGCCAACCCCCAATGTTTTTGTCAGGATACATACACTACTACTGCGTCCACTAGACTGCCTTAGCACGCTGCATGTACCTCCTGCGTCCGGGAGAGATGAGATGAGGATGAGCTGATGGGCGTCTGCTGGTGGTTTCAGCCCTTTTTCGTCTGGGTGCACAAGAGAGTCAGCTTCCCATAGCCAGAGGCAGAGAGGCAGGCTTCAGGTTATTCGGAATGGGGAAGGATCGTCGTATCGCCCGTTCCCCGAACAAGCGCATTGGATGGTTCCGAGAGCTGTGGAAAAAAAAAAGGGGTCTCACTCATCCACAAGTGCCAGCCCGGTTGCGCCAGTCAGCCGTCGATTGGCGGCACTGGCAGATACCATCCGTACATACACGGTAGCTAGTGTACATGGACAGCAATAATCTGTCATCTCGAGGACGGCCTGATGTGCGAGGAGGTTGAAGGAAGCGTTTTTGGGGTTGGCAGGGGATCCCCCTCCGGTGCAGATAGGAATGGTACGCCAACCCACCGGCTTTGGCCAAGCGGCCTTGGCTGCAACGCCGCCTCTTGAGTCTCTTCAGAGTTGTCGACGGCCGTCTGGCGAGATTGGGACGCGGGGACTTGTGTGGTTCACCAGTCAGCATCGCTGCTCAGCGCCACCAGCAGCCCGGATCTGTACAACATGTCCGGCTTGGCCGTGGTGATGCCCCGCCATTGGGCAGCTCACCATCCCCCCCGTCGTCAGCAGGGAAGCCAAGCGTTCAAATCTCATCCCCGCACGTGGCTGCCACCAACGGCGCGCCGGATGAAGCCTTCGGGCAGATGGATAAATTCCTTGGAGCCCAGGCGAGCTGGATGGCTGCCATTGGCGGGTTGGCGCTCACTGCGCTCCGGCACTCGAGAGAGCAAGGTGGTGTTCTGTCTGGTGCAGGTTGAATCGTCTGAGCGCCGTCTCGACACGTGCGATAACTGCCAGATCGCAAGCCACCCGCCGGCCTGCCAAGTTGTTGCTTGTCCAGCATCCGTATCACTAGTCTGCCACAAAGGTCGGACGACCGCGTGAGGCAGGCCGGCGGACCAAGGGAGAAAGAATGCTTCTGGAAGCCATGCCCGAGCGTAGAACGTTTTTGGTGATGGTGTGTTGAGGCTGACCTGGGCACAGACGTGGTGCGAAAGAGCTGAGAATGGCTCGTCCGGACACGAGATTATCGCCAGGGAGACACGGCGGCGCGCTGGCCGTGTTTCACAGGGCAACAGAGTTTTCGCATGCTTGCAGGAACGGTGATAAAGATTGGCGATTGGCGAGCGCCGCACAATCGCATTATGCCACCAGCAGAGTGCAATTCTCGGGCCCTGCGATTACGTGGTTGCAATATTGACCAAGGCATCGGAACCAGACAAGAGCAACAAGGAAGGTGGAAACCCACGGCTGCACCGCACGCTGCGGGAGCCGACATCGCACGCATTGAACAGAAACAAAAAAGATAGAGAGATAGAGGCGGAGAGAGAGACTATGGCATCCATCAAACTCCACCATCTTAACCACTACGTCTAACGGTGAGGAGCTGGGCGAGAACATTCGACGGCAACTGTCGCCACTTCCCCAGACTCGGTGTGGAAAAAAGCGGTGGAGGACACGAGAAGTGGAATCGACAGATCTCGGCTCATCTCCGAAGCTCATCACCAACAAGCTCATCTGTTTTGCTGCTGCCTCTGCTCTTTTTGCGGGGGATTGTGGATGTTGTGTGGATGTGCTGTGGATGAGTGTGTGGATTTTCCCCAGACGGAGTCGTCCGACATCCCCGCAATTTCCCCAGACAAAAAGCTCAGACCGGTCGATCCTTCACAACCGTCGCTTCATAATGGCTCCATTCACAACGACACTCGTTCAAACTTCACAACAAGCTCACTGCCCCCTCTCCCTTTTCCCCGTGGGAAACATGGAAAACACCACAATTGGCGCCCAAACAACCGAGGATATCTGGCCGACTATCGGTTTGTGCTTTCAGCCTGCCTAAATTCGGTGTCGGTGTCGCCTGCCGTTGCACCTGGACGTTGCACGGGTCGGTGTGGAGGTGGGTGGGTGTTGTCCATCGCGTCTTGGCCGATGCCACGCTGGACCTCCATCGCGCCCTGGCGCTCCATCCCGCCCACTCCGCCCTGCCCGCTCTTCTCTTCTCGGACCCTTCCTGTTTCTCCTCTGCCGGCCAAGACGTCCCGCCTTGTTGATTGCACCTGTGTGTCTGCTCCGCCTGTCCGAAAAGCTTGGGCCAACTGCCGCTGCGGGCCCCACGCCAAAAAGAGACGGTTGGGGATGGAAGCTATCGACAGGGTTTCCCAAAGAGGCAGCTCCTCCGACAACCTCCCAAGGTGCTGGCAAGTCCAACAGCTCAACAATATTTCCAACAATGCTGGCTCTCCAATCCGACTCGCTCCCCATCATTGCCATTGTCTTGGGTCTTGGGAGGAGGGAGTGGTGGCATGGTTTTGCCGCATCATAGTGGTGCTCACCAGCAGGCCTACTTCCTGGATTTGAGCCTCTCTTTCTTTGGATGGCCAAGACTGAGTTTGACGCGGTGGCTTTCCCAACGGCTTGGTTCTGCAGCCAGCATTTATTCCCGTCCCCTCCAGCTTGGCATCAGTGAAACTTCAAGGTTTCTCTTGACCGCATCAAGCGAAACTTATTTCACGACGACTTTTATTACATCCTCCGTGTTCATGAAATAGCGAGTCTTCCATGATGCCGTTCTGATGGCGGCGTTTCCGTGCACTCAACGCATGAACGCTAGCTGTTCATGCCGACTACTAGCACCCACGCCGCAATTTCCCCATCCACGGTACGTTGGTGTTTTGATCGCTGACCCGGATCTACATTACAGAAGCAGAATGGAACATGAAGAAAGGGACCCTGGCTGGCCGCTCTGTCATTGGGATTGGGGCGACGCACGCCAATACACCGTTGCACCCCAGATCAAACAAGTCAAAAATAAAACCATCAGCACCATTGCGAATGATGTTAAGCTACCATAGGCACAGAATCGGGACTCGGGCAGAAAGTCAGATCATAGAGTGGTCATCTTTATCCGCCACAAAGATCCAAACTAAATTGCCTACCTACAGTACCTAGGCAGTTTCTGCAATCCTCTGCGCCCGGCGGTTTTCTGCCAGAGTTGTACCTTGGTCTCTACCGCCGGTTAAATGAGGGCTGCGTGCCCGGGACCACAATCTCACATTTCACGGCGTCGGGAGTATCGTTGGGACGGATACCAACAGCGAGATTTTGGGCGGGAATAAAAGTCAGGGTCTCCCGACATGATGTTTAATATCTGCTACGCGAGTTATGACCCGGGGGTGAGGGGGGTATTGGATGCACTGATCTTTTCTGACAGATGATCACTGCTGCAGTAGTACTGTTGGTACTTGGTGTTGGTTGGACGTTGTGTTAGGGTAGGTATGGTCAAAATTGCAAGAGAACTTGGAAGTGCCTCAGCAACACGCTCCCCAGCTACATGTGCGTTATGATGGCTGATAGGGCTGCAATCCCATGCTTACGTTCCATCCATCCCGATCCAGGAGCAAGCAGGTGATGCGTGGCGAGATAGGGTACAGCACGGGTTGGAGCAGCACGGGTTGGTTGCATCAGTTGCGGTATCGTGAATGTTGTGGTATCGCACATTGTAACAAGAATGGGTGGTATACATATCAAGCAAGGCCTCACATGCATATAATACCAATCAATTAGCATGCACTGGCCTGGGTTTCCTGATGGTCTGGTCCCTCCACTCTGCGCCAGTATTAATTTACCGCATGCTCCCATTCGATGGTTGAATAATGTTTAGTATCGGACTCGGATAACGCGGCTGCATAACCGGCTCTGGACTCGGGTTCAACCATTTCTTTGCAATCGCGACGGAGCTCAACACAAACGAGACTGCACAGAGCAAAAGCTAAGAGAACCGCAACTATCGTGGTTCTAGGTAATTCGTACATACATACGGTAGTACTAACTAAATGACCTTGGCGCATTCCGCAACCTGGAACTAAACCACTCACACCGCAACAAAAAATGGATGATAAACATTTATCCCATCGAGCTGTGATCCTCCCCTTCATCAAGATAGCTGGTGACCAACACTGACTAGGCCGTCATTTATTAATCTTCTTCTCACAAGCCTTGGTAAACTCAGCCAACAGCGCCTAGCAAACAACAAGTCAGCAATAGTCAAGCAATGACTTTGATTGACTTACTTCGAAATCGTGATGCGCCAATGAACGAAACACCGGGCTCTTGTCCAGTTTCAACGCCGTCACCCGGGGGCTTCGAATACCATACGCCACGCGCGCGAGGAAGCGTGGGTCATCTCTGACATTTGTAGCTTCGAGGACCTTTTGAATGCTCGAAGCCATCGTTGGCGTCACAGTGAGTTTGGGGGGCTGAATTGGTTTGCCTGTGAGGCAAAAGGAACAGTGCCCGCACTTTTCCTTGTCTTTGGGCAGGCCCATACCAAAGTGTTGTGCCAGAGACAAGGCAAAACACTTGGAGCCGGTGATCAAACTCATGACCTCCTTGCATCGTTGCAGGGCATCTTTTTCTCGATCTGTTAAATCCTTGTACAACTTGTCAACCACCTTTTCCTTGTCCTCGTGTGTCCTGGGCAAGGCTTTTTGGACAATGTAGCGGTTCATTAGGCCGCTCGCTTTCAGTCTAATGTGGCCCTGTTGATCAAGCTGGTTCAGCTTGGCCACGATGTCGCCACGGGTCAAGCCTGTGTTCTTGTACGACGCAGCTTCGTAAACATCAAGATCGTACCACTTGAGCTTCTTCTTGGCGTTCTTGTAGATGGCGTCGATGACGAGACTCTTGTGTTGTTTGATGATGCCAAAATACGACGGCATAGCCTCAAACTTGTAGGTTGAATACTCCGGGGTCGTAGCTCGAATGAAGCCGAAATGGAGCTCCAAGGTGGCGTATATGATGCTGAGGGGACTTGGTCGTATATCAAAGTCCTTTTGCTGCCGATAGTGATTGGTCTTGAAGACACCCCCGACAGGGACCCCTAGAGCTTCCTTGAAGATATCAAAAACCAATCCGGCCAGCGAGCTTCTTGACGGGAGGTCACCGCGAGCAAAGACCTCGCGCAGGTAGAAGGCGCTAGGAGCAAGATAGAACATACATTTGCTCGGCTTTCCGTCCCGTCCTGCACGCCCAATCTGTTGGCTGTATTCTTCGACTGTGTTAGACAAGTCCCAGTGAACCACGTTCCTGATATCTGGTTTGTCGATGCCCATGCCGAATGCAATCGTGGCACAGACCTGAGAGTTCTGTCAGCGACGAAGCAACGTCGAGAAGGGAAGCCAGAAGTAAAACTCACAATGTCAACTTTTCCAGAGAGGAAGTCGTCTTGGGTCCGTTGTTTGACTTCGGTCTTGAGCCCGGCGTGGAAAGGCGCGGCCTTGAAGCCCTGCGCAGCCAACACTTTGGCGTGGATCTCGGATTGCTGCTGCATGGCGACATAAATGAGAGTCGGCCCTGGGTTGGCACGCAGAAACCTGAACAATTCTTCAAAGCGCTTGTCGCGCTCCGACTTGACATGAAAGCCTAGCATGATATCTAGGGAGACACTGATATCCCGGTCGTACTCTTTGCAAACAGTTTTGGCTAGGAGTTCAAGACTGTATCAAGTCAGCGCAAGATTCCCAGGGCATGTGCTGGCAACAACTTACTTTGGTCTGTATGGTGTTGTTCGGAAGACATATGCTGGCTGTATTGAGAATGCCTTGCAAATGTCCTCGGCAACCTTGGGAGTAGCCGTAGCCGTGAGACAAACGACACGCCCTGCCTTGATTTCATCCACAAATCGAGCAACTGCAAACGAAGGAGGTCAGGTCTTTGTTGTGTGCAATGTGATAGTAGTATCCAACGAGGTTGTCTCACCTTTGAGATAGTCAGGACGAAATGAATGTCCCCACTATATAAAATCAGCGGCACTCCTTGACAAGGACGTAAAGAGACTGACCTCGGAGACACAGTGTGCTTCATCCACAGCCAGCAAACGGATGCCGCCAGGAATCCGTTTGACGGTTTCGACGAAGCCCTCGTTGTTCAGCCGCTCTGGTGCGCAGTACAAGATCCGTAACTGTGATCGTGCCAGAGCACGGTATATCATCTGAAGTTCTTCCCAAGTCTTGCTCGAGTCAATGCTTTCGGCCGGGATGCCGCGTTTCTTGAGGACATCGACCTGATCTTTCATCAAGGCGATCAGAGGTGAGACCACAATGGTCACGCCTGCCTCGGCTGGCTCTCGTGTGCCCTCTGGGCCGTCCAGCTCGGGGAAGGCAATGGCGGGGATTTGATAGCACAACGACTTGCCTGCGCCCGTGGGGAAAATGACGAGGACATTATCGCCTTTCAGAATATGCTGAATGGCGGCTGCCTGCTCGTGCCGGAACGCCTTGAAGCCAAACTGGTTGGAAAGAATCCGTTCGGCCAGTGCAATGTGACTATCGCCAAGCGCTAGATTCCTTTCGACCTCTGATGCTTCGGTCTTGGCCCGTTTTGCAGGTCGCTCGAGGGCCACAAGCTCGTCTTCGTCGATGTCGTCAAACACATCATCATCGTCAAGTTCAAGATGGTCAAAAACATCGTCATCGTACTCGTTATCTGACATATTGGTGAGAATCTTGCTGCCGCTCCTTGCCAAAGAATGAGGAGTGCAGGATTGCAAACGCGGCAAAGATTGAGGAGTGCAGGAACGACGCGCTTTGGGAATTGTGGGAAAGTGGAGCAGACCAACCAGCTGCCAGCTGGGACGCGAAATGGTCGGGAAGTCATGTGATTCTTGGGCGAAATGGGCAACCTGGGCAAAAGCAGGGCAACCTCAGTGAGGTCTGCAGGCCACGACACACAACTGGGAGAGCAACTGTCACTTTCACTTTTATTTGTTGCGATTCAAGATGGCACCTTTGAGGAAGGTTGCTCTGAACGGAAGGTCTTGGCATGACGGCGACATCGGATTGGTCCGCTTTCTCCGCAACAGATAAGTTAGGCAATTATCAATCTTGGTACCCTAGCTTTGAGGTGCCCACCCAGCAAATGGCTCGAGTGGCAGAACCTCAATCGGCTCCTGCATGTTGCTCTCCTTCTCTTCAGTCTCAATCAACCACGCCAGCTTCGAACTCGATTTGTGAATATCGACCGCAGCTTGATCGGCATATCTAGACGTCTTCAGTCCACGAACCCCCACACCATGAAGCGGATCTGCTGTGGGTCTGGTGGTACTCACTGTTCCCACACAACTATCTTGGGCTTCTCCTCAGTCCCAGTTCGGAACCATTGGTACTGCAGCACCCCGGTCTCATTTTCTTTGACATAGTTGGAGACAGATTCTGCTATCTCCTCTACCTGCAACTCAAGATTAGTCTCTGTGTGTTTCGTTTATGAACAGGCCTGAGCTGTGATGTACTCACCCGCGCTACCCTGTCTGGTTTGGGAGACAAAATGGCGAGGAAGTGAAGAGAGGACATTGTTCAGGTCTCTGAAAGCTGTGGGACTGAGATGGGCAAGGAGGGACAGAACAACCGGAACGATGCGGGGCAGCCTTTGTGATCAAGACCCGGCAGAATACCAGAGGTGGATCGGGACCAAATATGGACCCGACAGGGACATTGCTTAGTGGAATGGAAGTCAAGGACCCCAGGGCATCCATTCTTCCGGTCCCGACCGCGGTATGGTTCCCGTCCTCAACCCCCAATCTGTGGCCCGGCCATTCACCATCATGTTCTGCAGGGAGGGTCTGAGCCCAAGGAAAAGTGAAGTAAGAACAAGCACTGGAAATGCAACGGACCAAGAGGCCAAGATGTCCTTGGCACGCCACACAAAAGCTTGTCATGAACAAGTGCAGGTTCTAGATATATTCTAGGTCTTATCCACCAAGGTATGTAAAAGCCCTCCCGGATCAATCCAGACGGAATCTTATATACCTAGACAGACGCACACCAAACCACCCATCAGCCGATGGAGGAGGCAGTGAGTTCGTCATCAACCCTCTCATCAAACACCAACCTCGGCAAAACATCCATCGGACCTAATCTCTCACAAGTCCCCACAACCAATCATCTCCTCCAGGCACCGTGCTTGCATCATTCTATCCACTGCCGCTGAGCCCTTGCTCGCGGAGACATCACTTATCGGAAGCCAATCTGCCGAACAGGCTATCAACTTCACTCTATTCCGCAGCATCCCACCCCGACTCCTACTACAACCAGGATGCGATCTTCGCTCACGACTTCATTAGATATTATAGCAATGAACATAATGCACCAACCAACCCGTGGAACGTCCCCCGGTTCTAGTATTTGACCTCGTTGTTGTCCCTTTTCTCGGCATGGTATCAGGCTGTCTTTTGCTCCCATCCGGCGTCACTGTCATTTCAAACCTGCATATACGTGATAGATATCCACTTGATTCATTGCAAAGGATGCATCTGTTCAAGATTGTCGCTGCGGTGGCAGCTTTGGCAAGCGGTTGGTTTGCTTTCTGTGCCCCTGTCTTCCCGTTTGAATTCTAACAACATCAAAAAGGCACTGAGGCCGCTGTCAGACAGCTACCAAAACCTGCCAGCTGCAGTGGTGTTGCCAACTTCCGCTACCAATACAAGTTGGAATCGGGATGGTCCGCCATGAAGATTGCCGGTGGTCTCAAGCAAGTGCGCACCATCGTGTGGGACACCGAGGGCAACATGCTGGTTTCACAAAACACGCGTGGCATCTCTGTGCACACATTTGGAGATAACGGGTGCATCAATAGCACCACCATGCTTATATCTGGCAACCAAATCAACCACGGCCTTTCCATCACTCCAGACGGCAAGACACTCTATGCCAGCAGTGAGACAACGCTGTGGAGCTGGGCCTACGACCCCCTTACCCGCAAGATCAGCAACCAAAAGACCATCGTCAGGGGCATGTCAACCGGCATCCATTCATCGAGAACGGTTGCCGTAGTCCCCCAGCAGCCCAATCTCGTGTTGCTGCAAGTTGGGTCAAACTCCAACTTTGACATGGCATCTCAGCAGCCTGGCACTGGCAGGGCCATCATCAAAATCTTTGACGCCAGCAAGGCACCTAGCAACGGCTTCAACTACAATACCGAAGGGGAGGTGTATGGATATGGTCTCAGGAATGAGATTGGCTTCACAGCCGATCCCAATGGCGTGTTCTGGGGTGTCGAGAACAGCGGCGACGTATGTACTTTCCACCTTTCGCCTTTACATTCCGTACTAACAGCTCTAGGACTTTGCCCGAACTGAAAATGGGCAGCGCCGCGATATTCACATCGATAACCCGGCCGAGAAGCTCAATAACCGTTAGTCATGTCGTGACCTACCGTACCCATCCATGTTCATTGACTAACATGGTGGCAGTCGGTGACCCCCTTACCGTTCGAAATGCTTGGTACGGATATCCGACCTGCTTTTCTGTCTGGAACCCGGCCAACTTCCCCAACTCCAATCTCAAGACTGGCTCCCACTTTGTAGTCTCACCAAACTCGTCCTATAACGATGCGACCTGCAACGGTCGAGCAGTGCCACCCCGGCTGACCTTCCAAGCGCACTCGGCCCCCATTGCCAACACATTTGATTCCGATGCAAAGAATATGTATGTCACGTTCCACGGGAGCTGGAATCGACAGCCTGCCACAGGCTTCAAGGTTGTCCAGATTCCCTTCACAAAGTTGGCCAATGGAACGTACGAACCTGTTGCCCCGGCCGACAGCATGACGGGATACAAGGACATTTTCTCGGCACCAAACCCAGGAAGCTGCACTGCCAATGGGCTAACCATGAGCAACTGCTTCCGCTTGACAGCCGCTGCTTGGGATCCGGCGGGCAGAGGGTTGTTTGTGGGAAGCGATAACAGCGCCGAGGGCGAGATTTATGTCTTGACTCCTAATTAGTAGAGGATAGCACCCGCCCTGGGTCTCGTTAGGGGCTAGAAGCCCTTGAATTTTAGGTACAGGTAGTCAAGAACCGAAGAATTCATTCTTTATCCGAGGTACCTGATAGTTGCCCATGTATGTCTAATGTATTGAACCTCGGTGGAAATAACATCATGCTGCTTGCTCGCTCATTCTTGTAGGAACTACGAGGGTGATTGCTTTTTCAGTCATGTACCTTATATAGGGGGTCCTTCGGCGTGGTTTAAAAGCCTTGACCATCGTCAAAAGGGTCTTTTTAAATTCCATTCTGCATTTCTCTTTTTAGTCTATTTACTTATCAACGCACTTTCGCATGGCATTTGCCTAACTGCATATGAATTCTCGTAAAACAAAAGAAGGGTCTTGCAAGTCGGAATTTTGGTTCCTTCATTCGCGCGTTCTGCCACGACTGTTTGCCAACGTACTCATCAACATGCTGAGAAGAGGGAGATGTCGGCGTCCAAGTTAGGTGTGGCGTGTGGAAGCTCGTAGCCGTCCAATACATAGATCTGTACATATATATCCATTTACATGTTCTGAAACCATGCCATCAGCACAGCAAGACTCCCATTTGGCTCTACCTAAGGCGCTGAAGTCCATGCCTTGCCAGTAGAGCCCAACCATCTTCGGCATCGATATACCCGGTGGCTGAGATGCATTCACTTGCTCGAACGAATTGACCCGGAGATAATGCACCCCAAGTCTCTTGGCAAAAGCCACCATTCCAGATCGGCCAGCTGAGTCTGCACCCGGCTTTTTTTGCGTCCACGCTGTTCACTTCGACGGGTCTTGCTTAACCCTACAACATCGTAACTACCACAGTCCGTCAATCTCATGGCTGACGCAATGTTCAAAGACAAGCCTCAAGGGACCAGTCGCTTGCGAACATTGCCTCGACCCCATGCCACAATATCCTGGATAGGCAAGAGGAGCGAGCGGCTGCTCGTTGCCTTTACGCTAAGTCTCGTGGTCTTTTACATCGTCGGTGGTTTTGAGCGTGCGTTCCCTGTAGTCCCCGAATCTGTGCGCCTCGAAAGACACATGAATACAGGCCAAGCACTATACCCATATGCAGCCGTTAAAAGTAGCATCGAGTGGAGCAAGTTGAAGCCTCGCTATCCAAACAAACAGTCTCCCACACAGCTTCCCGCCACACAGCCAGGTACAGCTCACCCGCCGATTCAACATCGATTCAAGAGAGAATCGGGTCATGACCGGAAGAGGCGAGATGCGAGAAGGCGAGCGGTCCGGGACCTCACCATAAAGTCCTGGTCAGCCTATCGCAAGTATGCTTGGAAGAAAGATGCCCTCCTTCCGCTCTCCGCCACTGGCAAAGACCAGTTCTCCGGCTGGGCGGCCACTCTCGTCGACTCTCTTGACACTCTTTGGATCATGGGTCTGAGGGAAGAGTTTGACGAAGCCGTTGCCGCCGTGGCCGAAATCGACTTCGCAAACTCGTCCAGCCCGATGATCAACATTTTTGAGACCAACATCCGATACCTCGGTGGCCTGCTGGCCGCGTATGACCTCAGCAAGCGGGACGTCCTTTTGCAAAAGGCGATCGAGCTCGGTGATCTCATCCATGCCGGCTTTGACACACCCACACGCATGCCGGTCGACAACATCGACCTGCTGGCTATCAAATCAGGGGAGGGCCAGATGATTGAACCGCAGGTCGTCTCGGCCTCCCCCGGAACACTGAGTTTGGAACTCACCCACCTGTCTCAGCTCACAGGGGACCCAAAGTACTACTCCGCCATAGCCCGCCTCAACGCCCTGTTCAGTGTCAGCCAGAACCAGACCCTGCTTCCTGGCCTATTCCCCATGTACATCTCGCTTTGGGGCCCCAAGCCGGACGTCATCAGCGGTACAAGGTTTACCTTGGGAGGTGGTGCCGACTCCATGTACGAGTACTTTCCCAAGCTATCCCAACTTCTCAACAATGCCGCGCCATCTCTTGTTTCGCTCTCACACAACTTTCTGAGCTCGGCATCTGCGAACCTCTTCTACCGGCCCATGATTCCTGATTCATCAGCGAACGACATCATGATATCGGGCACAGCCAATATCCATCCCAGCCCCGACACCAAAACCAACAGCGTTCAACTCAGCCCAGAGACGGAACACCTGACATGTTTCATAGGCGGAACCTATGCCCTGGCAGGGCGTTTGTTTTCCACTGCGGAGTACCTGGAGACGGGGTCAAGGCTAACGAGGGGCTGTGTGCACATGTACAAGTCGTTCCCTACCGGGCTCATGCCGGAGCGGCTGACTATGCTACCGTGTCCTCCTGGAGGTTCTTCTCATGCAGCTGAATCGTGTCAATGGAATCAAACCCTGTGGGATGCAACCGAGAAACAGCAAGGCTTGCCTAGGGGGTTTGTTTCGGCCACAGACAGACGGTATATCCTCCGCCCGGAGGCTATCGAGTCGGTGTTTTACATGTGGCGCATCACAGGGGAACCAGAGTGGGAGGCGGCGGCGTGGGACATGTTTCTTGCTGTCGCGAATGCGGTCTTTGTAAAGGAAACAGGAGGCGGGGCCAGCGTGAAGGACGTGACTGTTGACCCCAGCAAGGAAGACGTCGAGAGGAGTGATGAAATGGAGGTTTGTGCGCCCCGTTCCCGGCTCTGCCACTGGTGAATGGGTCAACCGCTAATGAAGTTGCGTATGACAGAGCTTCTGGATTGCAGAAACACTCAAGTATTTTTATTTGGCGTTTTCGCCACCTGATTTGATCAGTTTGGACAAGTACGTGTTAAACACAGAGGCTCATCCGTTTCTCAGACCAGAACGGTGACGAAATTCGTGAGCGTGTAGTGGGCAAATATATAGGCCCATTCGCTGTATTAGTAGAATCATCATTCCGGGTTTATCGTTTGCTCCTAGCAAGACAAGTCAGGGCTTTCTTGAATGTGATCTGTAGGTATGTGTGTGCGTGTATTTATCGTAAACAGCCGCCGCCATGGCTGGCCCCATTTCAGACCCTAGACCCCGGACGCCAAACTAATGCAAAACCCTCTCCCTTTGGTATAAGACTTCAAGACTTTGCAAACCGAAACTACCTCCTCCCGCCCCGTCCTCCTCCTCCGCCCATCATGCCGCCCATCTGCTTCATCATGGCGTTCATGTCAAAGCCGCCCCCGGGTCCGCCCCCGCCGCCAAGCATCTTCATCAGACTGCCCACATCGGGCATGCCACCACCAGCCCCGCCGGCGCCGCCCATGCTCTGTAACCGCTTCTGCATAGCAGCCAACTGTTGGGCCTTGTTGCCTCCACCCATGGCATTCTGTGCCCTCTGCATGTTCTTCATGTTGCCGCCCATCTTCTTCGCCATGCCGGCCATCAACCTCTGCTGTGTCAGCAAGTCCTCCACCTCCCGGACTGTCGTTCCAGAACCCCGCGCCACTCTTGTCATGCGCGTCGGTTGCTCGATGAAGATCTTGCCGTCCGAGTCCAGCTCCTTGTCCGTCATGCTGTCGCAGATGTAGATCATCCTCTTCAGCTTCAGGCTCCCTTCTTCGTCGTCCATGTTGGCCATGATATTGCTCATGCCGGGAATCATGCCCGCCATCTTGGATAGCGGGCCCATCTTCATGATGTTCTGCAGCTGATCCCTCAAGTCCCGCACAGTGAAGATGCCTTCTGTAATGTGCTTGATCGTGTCCTTCTGGTCCAGTTTCAGCGACTGGACATGCTCCACCAGACCAGCCATGTCACCCATGCCCAGCAACTTGGAGATAAAGTTCTTGGGTACGAAGCGCTCCAAGTCCAGCATGTGCTCTCCGGTACCGATAAAGACAATGGGTGTGCGGGTGGCAGCGACGGCCGAGATTGCTCCACCACCGGCAGCATGGCCGTCGGTCTTTGTGATGATGATGGCGCCAAAGTCGGCGGCTTCCTTGAAGGCCATGGCCTGCCCCTCGGCCTGCTGCCCTATGCTCGAGTCGAGCACCATGATGGTCTCGTCTGGTTTGATGGCGTTCTGGATGTCCATCATTTCCTGAAACAAGGCACTTTCTTGCCTATGACGGCCAGATGTATCCACGATGATAACCTCGAACCTCTCCTTCTTGAACTTGTCGACACCCTCCTTGGCTACGACGGCCGGGTCGGTTTCCGTCAAGCTGCCGTAGTATGGAATCTTGGCCTTGGTCGCATTTTGCTTGAGCTGATCAAAGGCACCGGCACGGAAAGTATCGGCGCAAACTAAGCAGGCGCGAAAGCCACGTGATTGGTAATGGCGAGCAAGCTTGGTGCAGGTTGTGGTCTTGCCGGCACCCTGAAGGCCGACAAACATGATGACATTGGACTTGCCCTTCTTTGGCTTGAAGGGTTCGGCATGAGGGTCGACGAGGTCGACGAGATGGTCGAAGACGGCTTTCTGAATGAGGCGCTTCTTGTTGACTGCTGGGGGGAGGTCTTTGAAGTTGACTGCGGCTTTGATGTCTTTTCGGAGCCGGCCGACGAGACGGACATTGACATCTGCTTCGAGGAGGGCGGAGCAAATCTGCTTGAGCATAGAGTCGAAGGCCTAGTGATTGCAACGTGCGACTCGTTAGCGGCTGAGACACGCAGAAAGGCAAGGGTAGGCCCAAGGAGAAGGAAAGGAAAGGGAAAAGGAAAGGATAACTACCTTTTCATCGAGATTTGGGGCGCGCGTCAAGTCGGTGACGGCGGCATTGATGCGCCGACCTAAATCTTGAAGAACCATGATTGGGGAAAAGTTACGGCGATCGACGCCGGTCGTGATGTCTGGTGATGTTGGGCGGCAGTGGTCGGTGAGGTCGGGATCTGGTGGTTTGGCCAAAAGTGTTGCTGATGACAGAAGTCGAGAGCTGGGCAAAATGGTGGGGCGAATGTTGGGGAGCCCCACCTACCGTAGATGCCCGGGGGTTGAGTGGGTCGGGCGGTGAGAGCTGCCAGGCACAGTCACACAGTGGCACGTCAGGGTTAAGGGCTTTGATACAGCTGAGGTATCTATCTAGAAACTACAGCTTATGCCTTGCTTCCACCAACCCAGAATCTGCTCGACTCGCATATAGGAACGTCATCTTCAAAACAGGGAGCAGGAACAGAGGCAGCCCCAAGCGCTTCAACCGTGCTAACATCAACAACCAAGTCATCAGTCACCTCTCCTCTCATCCATCGGGGTTTGTCTGGAATGCGTGCACTCACCCAACTCCGCTGCCACAAGCCCAAACCTGGCGCATTGCAAGCAGCTTTCTAACGGGATCCAGGTTAAATGAGGCGATGGTCAACCCCCCCGACGCACCCACCGGAGTGCAAACACCATTTCCGGCAAGGTCCTCGCTGGCGCACTCAAATATCTCGTTTGTGGCTGTATTGACAGCAACAAACAAGTTGCCCTCGGTTTCTGGCGTGGACTCGTACAGACTAGTATGGTTTCTGATCTCCCAAGATTCCAGATATCTCCCTGATGCGGGTGCTGAAGAACAAGGGCTTTGTCCTCTTGCCTGCAGCGTTGTGCTGAGATTGATCTGCCTCGACGTCGTCAAACAGCGCGTTGGGTTGCCCCCCGAGCCCGTGTTATCGCATGAAGTAGGCAAGACGATGGATGCGGTGGCCAATCCAGACACTCTGTTCGCGTCCGACACGAATATGTCAGCAATGACACTTGGCCCCCTTGTTGGTCTGCGCGGCTATACATACTCTTCGTTCTCACAACTGAAAGTATGGCTCGCATACAGAATTCTTTTCTCCCAGTCCATCGCAAAACTAACCGTGTCATCGATTGGCCTGCCAAAAATGTTCACGCAACTGCTCCAGAGCAAAGCGGATTTGTCTTGAGTAAACCCTTTCCATTCCTCGGGCCACATTCCGAAGCAGCTGTACGTTGTGCCGCTCGTGGAGAGATAGAGACCAATCACCGAGTCGGTCCCTGCCCGTCCTGGTAGAGATCGATCGGGCGCATCGTAGGTCCATTCGGAAATCTGCCAGGAAATTGGAGCAGGAGATGCTGGACAGGGTCGTGCTGCCTGCCCTGCTGCAAGAAGAGAGGCGAGAAAGAGAACGACCTGAGGCTTCATGGTGATAAACTGCGTCGATGGTATAACACCGATTTTCTGGGACGAGGTTGATCTAGATAGGTATGTTTGAAGGTCGTTCTTACACTGGCCAGGGTGATCTATAAGCCGAGAGGCTTCGAGGCAATATGGACTCTGCCGTGGGTAAATGTCTATTGCGCGGGGTGGCCAAGATACCCACATTCGGCATTAACCTACCTACCTTGTATCACAGCGGCCCCATCAAGGAAGAATTGGCACTTCACAATGAACCGGCCATTATGCTTTTCCTGGATCATTGTCTGCCCGTTTCTTCAGGGGTACTTGCATACCTATCTACGACGAGGTAGGTTGCGTGAGATATGTTCAGCTCCACCGGCGTCTGCTAGAAGGACATATCTGCCTCCGCAAGTAGGAGTCATTTAACAGTCTTGGGGGTAAAATAAGCAATCCTACAGTCTGCGAGCAGTAACGTGCAAGAGAAGGCAGAAACATGAGCCCTTGAAAGCCACCAGGTAACTCCACAGCGAGGGAGACCAAGCAGCAGTGGGTCAATGCCATGACTCATTCAAACCGTAGCTGCCATTGGGAATTTACCTCACTTATCATTCTTGTGACTGATCACCATCTTGTAATCCTCTTGATTTGGCATGAAACAACTTTAAACGCCAAAATGAACCCAACGGCCTCATGGCGCCCCATGTACAACCACGATCTCTCGGCTGTCATGCTTGTTGCTGATGAGATCCACCCCGGTCTCCCTGAAGGTGCTTCTGTTTTCGCAGAGCGGGTAGAACTCTTCCCTGAGGGATGCTTCGTTCTGGAATCAAGGCAGGAGATTTGCGGCTATATCATATCACATCCCATTCGACGACATTGCCCTCCCGCTCTGGATACCCTGCTCGTTGAGATACCCCCGACTGCCGACCACTATTACATTCACGACCTCGCCATTCTCCCTTCATTCCAGGGACGTGGATTAGCTGCCGAAGGTATCAAGAAGGTTTTGGACGTTGCGCGCAACTGCCGCACTACCTGTCTTATCTCAGTGTACGGCACACTGGCCTTTTGGAAACGATTTGGGTTCGAGCCTGGGATGGATGACGCAGACATGTCAGCAAAATTGAGAGGATATGGCAACGATGCCATGTATCTAGAGTGCCAGAACACAACAGAACAAGCTCCAGTCTGACAGTTGCAAGAGCCTATCAAAAGTGGAACAAATGCAAGGTCAATGCCGCAAGGCCCTAGTCTAAGAAAATTTCTAAACAAAATCGCTGAAACAGATCAAGAACCCACAATACCCGGTGCCTATCGTTGTTTGACAATCATATCTCCGGCCTGAATCCCTTTCCCTTGGGTCAAGACTCCGGCCTTGTTCAGGATGTCGACCGTACTCCTGACCACGTTCAAGTCAACCCCCTGTGTTCTCTCCGGGAACTTGACTGTCTTGAGCCATTCCCTAGCATCTTCTTCCGAGTAGTCCAAGTTCGTGCTGATGTACTCGACTGCTTCTTCTGGATTCTCATTGAAATGCCGGATGCCCTTGTTCAGCTTCTCCAGCAGATCATCCACCCTGCCATCCAACGCGGTGCCCTTCACCAACTTGGTGGAAGCCACAATCTTCCAGCTTGACCAGGGAGTGTGGATCTCCCCCACACGTCTAATCTCTCCATTATCGTAATACTTTTTGGAAGTAAAATGCTCCCACATGAAGAAATCCGCAGTCCCGTCGTTCACTGCTTTCCGGAGATTCTCAAACGTGTTGAGCACCACAAAATCCGAGTAAGGGGACGCAGACTCGGCCGACGTGCCCACCCCCGTGGTTGGGACGAGCCATGCACGCTGATCCGCTAGAACATAGCCCATGACATAACTGCCGGAGCCGATACGGGAGACGCCAATCTTGCCACCTTTGAGCGAGTCGACGGATTGGATCTCGGGACGCTGGTTTCCTGTTGAGATGGCCCAGCCTTTTGGTAGCGAATTCGAGCGGTTAATCTTTGTCACAGCCCCCGCAACAATACAGCAGCTGGATGCACTTACAAAGCGGCGTTTCCACATATGTTCCAACGAGTCTATACCCGCCGTCATTCTCCTCAGTCTGTTCTGTCTTGCCCAATCCAGCAATCCATCCTTCCGTCAGACCGATGGCCACATCGATCTCTCCGGCCCGGATCGCCGTGATCATGTGTCCGGTCCCCGAGGGAAAGGGGATCAGCTCGGCATCGAGTCCAAAGTGCTTGTGGGCAAAGTAAATGGGCGTCGAGAAATGCTCGGGAACAAACCCGATCTTGAGGGGCTGGGAACTCATGATTGAGCCGGTTGCTGGTTGTTGTTTGATCCTTTTCAGTGTGTCAAAGTTCAACGTTGTGTCTTGCTGAAGCGATGGCTGATGATCATAACAAATGTATTTTTTTCCCAACCGAGAAAATGAAGGCGCACTCACTTCCAGAGGTTTAAATGACGCAATGCGGGGCGGCGCAGAACGATTCTGGAACAAACGAAGCGAAACCGACCCCACTACCGACCACTATCTGCGGCAAGGAGGGCCTGTCTTTGGCGGACATTGCCGTTGACTTGCGGAAGCCACAGTGGTGTGCAGGTGTGGGAACTGCGAGTTTCGCAAGAATGAACCAGAAATTGTTCTGATAAGTCGGAAACTAGGGTCGATAAACAGCAAGTGCCCAAAAGGGGCCCCTTTTTCAGCCCGCTTATGAGGTCGAGAACAAAAGGCTGCTGACGGCTCCAACAGCACCTTATGCACTGTATCACCGGTTACCTCGAGTTACCTGCCTCCTGTAAGGCACGATTGATAAATTCATCCGTTGCTAGTTCCACAGATGGTAAGCGGAGCCAAGGATGTGCCGCTCCTGACTACCATGTAAGTTGCCCCAAGCACATATGGGAAAGAGGATAAGTCTCCTGGCCACGGGAAAGAAGGGAATGCAATTCCATTCCACGGGTGTGTCGGGAGCTTGTCTTGCACTGACATGTCTTGGGTCCCGGGTAAGGTAGTCTCTTAGAGAACCAAGTACCTGGACTACTACCATTTGTGTTCGCAGTCGTTACCTGATTTCGAGGACCGAGGTGCCATATTTAGGTGTCCTTTGTAATGTGAACGTCAACTGTCACTCGAGTCCCTAAAAATAGGATAATCGCCAGTTAAGCGTGGTAGCGAACAAGCCCACGGAACCAAGAGCGCCTGTCTAACCCACGGCCAGACAACCCCGGCTTGGCCATTATATGTAGCACACATGGAATGAAAAGCACTACAGGCAACGATGCAGGCTTAGACTTCAGCCGAGATTATGAAGCCAAGTTTGGAAATAGCATCCGAGAAGGTTCCTCTTTCTGTTCAACGTACCACACCTTCTCTCGACTGCTGTGGGTCTGGCGACGTGTGCTCAGCTTACACTGTCACCGAGACTTGATTCATAGGTATCTATCGTCCCCAATATTAATTCGAGACCAATTTCCTCACCTTGCCCCCTGATTCCGTCATCTCGACCTCTTCGCCAACGGCCTGTGATAAACACAATGCATCTCTCTACTGCCATCATTACCTTTGCTCTTAGCCTGGTCGTCTCTTCTGAGAGTCTTGTCCGCCCCTGCGGCCTTGAATTGGAACGATGCCCGACAGGATGGATCTGTCAGAGACTTGAGCGATCGCCCACCGGCGAGGGAATCTGTGTTCGACTTCCTCTGCATGTTCCCCTTCCCATACGGACAACGCTTGTCACCTCACGGGCTTCGCGCACTACAACAACAACAACAACAACAACACCGAAATCAACACCGACATTTCAGTCTTGCGGTGGCTTCCGCGTGAACCCTGCCACCTGCCCCAAAGGTCATATTTGCGTGGACAATCCTTACGTGGAGGGATGCGGTATGGCTTGTGACAAACCGGGAATCTGCGTTGACCCTGGCGAGTTTTGCGGAGGCTTTGCTGGCTTCCGGTGCAAGGGTGACAGAGTCTGTATCGATGATCCGCGCGATGACTGCGATCCTCGCAACGGCGGTGCCGATTGCGGCGGTATCTGTGTCTAAGTGAGATAGTTGACTGGCGGCAACTTGGGTGGAATTAACGACACTGAACATCTAAGGGGTGACTGTGAAGGGAAAGGGATGATTCAGACCGGATAAAGGAACGGTGGAAGTCGAGACTCTGTATTACAATAAACAGATGCTACCCTGGTATTGACATTCAATTCAATAGTGCCCTGTAACGCTTGATTATGTTCCCGCTATATTCCGTTGCTTTATTCCTGGCGGCTTCAGTTAATCTAGGACGTTCTTACAGTCCTGGACGCGGCATCGCGGCAAAGATAGGTGGGTAACTGGGCGGTAATAAGAAACAGGTGCTTCTGATAGCTGGGAGGTATGTCGTCCCCCATCTTTTGTCCGAGAATGATACTTGTACTTGGTATATTCTCAACCACTTTCCTTTAGTTATGCCTTGCTGACTAAGGTAGATACCCTAGATACACGACTCTCCAACGGTTGCAGCCGGTTGTCAGCTAATGTCCAACAAGTCCAGTGTTCTGACCTGCTTTATTCAGACAACGTGACGGCGAAACCGATCTTCAGTCATGGCCCACTGTTGGGAGACGTGCGGTTCGCCATTCGCTGAAAGAGAACCAACAACGCACAAAATGTAACCATGTCGCCTTAGTATGATCTTCGCATCAACGCCGGGAGGAGGCACAGCAATCGCAATCAAAAGAGACCTTTCTCTAAAACCATTCTCCTCCCGTGGTCTGGTTTCCAGCGGCGAACTCCAGAGTTGTTTGCTTGAGACCGGAGCCATAGGGGAAGATGGCCAGCAACTACACACCGCCACGTCAAGCGATTCCGCCGACCATGCCGTACAACGATGGCCTTATTCCAAACGACAACCCACATACACTGTTCCCCGAGGTCCTCGCGAAACATGAGCCGGTCTATCACCGGCCGTCTATAGTACCGAGTCAGATGCCACCGGCATATCCACACGAGCTGGCAGGATATGAATCGGGAATGCCTGAAAAGCCTGGTCGGCCTTTTTGGAAAAAGCCGGTTACATGGGTGGCTCTCGTAGCCCTCGTGATAATCGCCATTCTTGCTGGTCTTCTAGGAGCCATGGCAATCGGAGCCATCAAAACGGCGGGCAACACCAGGTGAGTCAATGGACGACGCTTTACCCATGAGAGACACTACAATGTCCTTTTCCAGCGGCTGATCTATACACCCTCTTTAGCGTATCGCATGAAGACGCAGTGAGTACCAATGCGGCGGTCACAGGCAGTTCCAACACGGCACTATCATCGCCGACGTCACCAGCTATTGCTCCAGAGACTACAACTGGGCCGGACTTGACACCAACACCAACACCGACATTAGCAACAACCACGACCACGCCTACCCTTTCAGTACCGGCTAGAACAGTGGACTCCCCGAGCGGTCCTGTCACGATGGAGTGCCCTGGTGTGGACCGGCTTAACCTTGATGTCTCTTCGCCCTCGCGTGGCGAGCTCAGGTTCCAACGACTTTGCGACGTCAATTATGCTTTCGGGGACACCAATCCCGGGTTTGGATTGGTAAAAGACAAGATAGTAGCGAGCTTGACAGACTGCATCAAGGTTTGCGCCGACAAAACAGGCTGTGTGGGTGTTGTCTTCAACGATGGTCCCCAGTGCTGGCTCAAACACACACTGGAAGCAAAGAAGCCGGACGATGGAACTGAAGCGGCCATTCTTATTCAGCGATGAATCAGACCTCCAGAAATCTTGACTAGGTAGATAATGATAACAAGGAAAGGTCTATAGGCACTGATGAAATCTTCCCAAATCTGCCACGCGAGAATAGCTCAGGCGGTACACTTGAGTGCACTGTCAATCAATGTCCAGGTGTGGTCAGATACTGACTTCAGCTGCTCCTCAGTCCAGATTGCCTTGTCTGGTACCGCTCGCCCTTTCTGATCAATGTTGCTCCAAAACCTTCCCTCCTTCTCGGCCTTCTGGGTGACCTCAGATACTCCTTGCAACAAATACTCAGCACATGTGTCTGTTGACACCGCTGCCATCTTCATCAGGATCTGAGATGGCCCGCGCAGATACCAAGGCAGGCCCGCCATGATGTTGGACGCCACCACGCCGGGGTAGGCATGAACAAAGTGCCTTTTTGAGTTGCCGTTCTGCTGTTGCTGTGCGGCGTGGAACTGGATCATGGCATCATTCATCGAGATGCAGTGGTAGGCAGCACTGGGCAAGCTGTAAGTCCTTTTCAAATCCAGATCGTTCCAGTCCAGCTTCGCTGGGGCACCGTTTTTGCCATCCAGAACAATTATCACCATGGCATTATCTTTCAGCACTGGGAGAAGTTCTCTAATGAGAAGCTGTTTGCCATAGTAGTGGAGAGCCATCTTGTTGTCGATGCCCTCGGCGGTTTCTGTACGGCCGGCCATGGTGAAAATACCCTGCGTCATGATGAGAAAATCGAGCTTCTGGGCCCTGTGGGAAGTTATGAATTTGTCTGTGTACTGCTTGATTTGAAGCATGGATGAGGCGTCAACAGCAAGGAACTCGATGTTGGGGTGAGGAATCATGGCTGGCTTATTGCGACCGCTGATGATCACGGTGGATGACGGGTTGTCGATGGCGATTCGGCATGCCATGGCATATCCGATACCGTTCGTACCGCCGACAACAAGGGCTCTAGTAGACATGGTGAGTTATCGTTACGTGCAGTTTGGTGGTTGCGAGTATGGTGTGAGCGAATTGACAAAACGATGGAATGTGGCCGGGCGAGTTCTGTTGATAAAGATGACGAAGCTTCTTGTGAGCCCCGAACTAATCCCACCACAAAGCCCTTGCAAATGCCGTCGGTCAAAAGTTCTGCCGTGTGGTTGAAAGAGGGAAAGCGCCAGGACGTCGGGTGTAAGTGGATACCCGGTCCAGTCTCTTTTCTCTTTGGTGGCTTTTAATCTGATACCTTGACTTGGAAGATAAATCCATGAGGGTTATGAACACGGACCAGCCACTGCAATTCGGTGGAAAAGAGTATTCTGCCAGGCTAGGATTGAAGTATGTTTTGGTGTTATTGCTATTCAATCTTATTCTATATTCCTTTATTTTCATAATGTGTCGAAGAAGTCAAGTGCAAAAGCCACAAGAAGTTACATTCGTCCGATCTCAGGCTTATCGTGTACCAGCAATGGTCATTACGCGATTGCCGCGATTTGTCAGCCCATGCCTGAATTTATTAACACATTAATAATGGCATGCAGCAAGTAGAGGGGCTCACCGACATGTAGACGACTCCAACAAATGCTCAGGGCGTGATTTGATCTACAAGAGCATGCCTGCTTCCAGACTCTCGAATATCGGCTCTCTTCCATAGGTACCTGCATCCTTGAAACAAAGGTGCACCACCAACAATGACCGACAGAAAACCCATCCTTATCGCTGGTGCGGGCATCGCTTCCCTCTTATTAGCACAGTCGCTGAGGCTCTCCGGTATTCCCTACAGGGTCTTTGAACGAGATGCTTCATTTGTTTTTCGTGCTCAGGGTTACCGGCTTCGCTTATCTTCTGAAGGCTTGGATGCCATCCAGGCCGTCTTGGATCCCGAGACTTGGCAGCGATTCTGGGGCACCTGTGGCAAGACGGGCGGACTCGGATTTGCATCGTTTAACGCCGTGACCGGAGAGCAGATCGAGCATCACTTGGTCCCACCGGCGCTAGTATCGCGACAGGGAGGAGGCAAAACGATTGGGATTTCCAGGGGGGACATGCGAAGAATATTTGCCCAAGGTTGTGAGGACAACATTGAGTGGGGCAAGCATGTGACGGGCTATGAAGTCACTGAAGACGGGGTACAAGCCATCTTTGCGGATGGGACTAGGTCTGTCGAAGGCCCCTTGTTGGTTGGCGGAGAAGGGATTTACTCCAAGGTTGCCAAGCAACTTTCAGAAGGAAAGCTGAAGGTCTATGACACGGGCGCGAGGGGGACTCACGGGCAGGCGCCGAGCGCATCCTTCAAAGGCCTCGGCGAGGGAGTCTTTCGGTTGCTGGACGATACACGCCCAGAAGGGTCTGTTTTCGTCATTACGAACGTCCGCCCTGAAGAGATGGATGATCCAAGCGTCTCTTTCGGCTGGACCATGGGTGGTCACCCCGGCGTAATTCGGGCTCCAAATGATGACTACACCATCGTGGGCAGGACGGCAGCAGACATCGCCAGATCTCTGACACAGAAGTGGCACCCTCGCTTTAGACCGCTATTCGAAGACATGAACGAGTCTGAGGCCGCATTTTGGAAGATCACCTGTTCAACACCCTCAGGTGTTCCTGACTGGCCAAACCAACCACGCGTCACCGTCATTGGTGACTCTGTTCATTCCATGACTCCAGCTGGTGGCATCGGCGCCAACACTGCTGTAAGAGACTCTGCACTACTTGGTCGTCTCTTGCGTGAAGATGGCGGATACAAGGCAGGGGTCACAGAGCGTTACGAAAAGGAGATGAGGATCTATGCCAGCGAAGCGGTTCGTGAGAGTTATTCAACTGCGGTGAAACAGTTTGGCATCGTTATTGATGAGGAGACCAGTTTGACGGTCTAGGCAGCTAGTATGAGTAACTATAGGATTCGAATACAGCCTCTACCTTGACAAAAAGCTGGCAGCAGCGTGGACACACAACAGTATGCCCAACAACAGAGAAGGCGCAGAGCTTTCCATGTGATGACAAGCTGTGTTCGGCGCCGTCAGTGTGACAGTGATCTGCTGTGACATGTGATTGAACTTCATACTCAGAACAAACATCAAGGCCTTGTCTCGCATTGGTTCACTTTGACTGTCTGTCTCTCTTGGACGTTCTTCCCTAAGGTACAAATTCAAGCTTGCCCGCCAATGCATTGTTGACCCACTCTGACGTGCGGTTTAGCCTAAAATTGTGGGAGGGCTTTTGCGCCACCTTCAGCAGCAAAATCTTCTTGCTCTTGCGCATAGACAGTACTCGACAAATACTCTTATCAGCTATACGATAGCCACCAACTCGAAGATGGCGAGGCGTCACGATGATCAAGAGCTGAACACTGCCGTCCCGACTGACTTCAATCGGATTTATGTTGGTAGTTTGGACTATTTTGCCAAACCGACAGATGTGGAGGAATTGCTCGTCAGGGTCAACCTCAACAGCTTTCAGAAAATCCATATTTCGATCGATCCTATCAGTGGTCGAAACCCAGGGTACTGTTTCGTCGACTTTCCATCACACCAAGAGGCTGCCTACGCTTTGGAGGCGCTTGCGGGCCAGTCAATCCTCGGGAGGGTCGTCAAGCTGGGCCCCTGTGTACCCAAGGGGCCTGGGAGATCATCGCGTGGAGACCAGAGCTCCGCTGAATTTTGACCTGTGTTCCAGAGATGGGGTGATTGGAAAGGTGCCGACGGCGCCTCAGAACAGAAGGATGGGGCGAGATTTCGGGGTTGGAATTCCCTAAGAGAGCAAATAGAAGACTAGCAAGGGCCGTATGCTGCCCTGAATCGTCTGTAAAGTTACTCTAACAAGGATAACACCCGCATCCGCATCGATGGCCTCGACAAAATGATTGACCAGGAACACAACGACGCTGAGATTCGCAGCTTTTTTTCGGGCTTCGACGTGTAAGTCCATGCTCCCAAGCATGTCATCTTCAAACATGTCCAGATGGATTGACACCGCACGTTTTAGCGTCGCCATCGGCAAGCGCGTGGTTCCATACTCGCTCCGATCTACGCCTGGGAACCACCATCACTGTTATGTTGACCTTGGCTCCCGCGAGGAAGTTGACCGTGCTGTCAAGGAGCTGAGCGGCACGGCAATGAATGGAGTGGTCGTTCGTCTCTCCATAGCTCGAGATGGGAGAGGCCCTAACCAGCACGGCCAAAGCCAGTCATCTGGAGGAGGTAGCCAGATTGGCCACAAGGCGAGAGAGGTACACGGCGGTGGAAGAGATTACATGCAGAAAAGCAGCTGGCGGAGGGCAGATACTTGAATTGGTTGCGTTAGTTTGTCTGCCACTCAAGCAACAGCATCAATTATTTCCTTTGAAAAATGATCAAAAGCTAGGTACATCTTGTCCTGGAATACTGTTTCAGTGGCGAATAAGCAGTCACGGTAAGCCCCAACACCATCAGTCCAGTTTTCTCCACCAAAGCGTACCCTCAACCGTAGCGTCTGCGTTCACAGGTGCGCTGAGTCTCAAGAATGTGCCCCCGTTTTGGCCTTTGTGCTTCACCACCCTGTAGTTCCGTCTTTGAGTCCCACCGACCCATGCGGGCGTGTTTGTGACATGAAGCGGGCCATGCAGGACAGCTCCGGACTCTTTGGTGGACGGAACCTCTGGATCAATCGACAAGGCGCCAGCATATGCAAGCGTAGTTTTGGCGACAACGGCCCACGCGTCGTCAAGATCTGTGGTGTTTCGAGGGGGCCAGACCATGTTTGCTCCGTCGTCGGGAAGGTTGGAGACATTGAACGATGTCATGTGCGCGGACATGTAGCCGCTGCTTGTGTATATGAGCAGACCAGTGAAGGCATATGGGCTTTGGGCGGTTGGTATCTCAACGCTGTCGTTGGCTCTGTTTCTGGTGATATTGAGCAGCTCATAACTTCCCGCCAGCGCCGAAAGGATAGCTTGGGGTTTCATGTTCAAGAGGTAGACTGGGCTAGGTACTTTACGTTGGATGAACTTGAAGAGGGACAGTTGGCTGGGAGAGCAGGCAAAGTCGCCTTTTAAGCCTGTTGGCCTCCAACGTGTCCTACCTAGGTTTACGTGCTGACACACGATACTGCTTGGTGTAACTGTTTTCGGTCAGCGATGTGCATGTTTCGGGGCGTTGGGCTGATGTCAGCGCAGGTTCAAACTGTACATAAGGTAGTCAGACGGAGTAAGTGCATTTTACAGACTCTCATGATGAGAAACTAAGCAAAGTAGGTAGCTACTATAACTCCATAGACTAATAAGGTAGAGAAAGAATTTCTGACTACAAAAGATGGCCTCCGTCAATGAGCGCACGAAGGTCAGGCTGCACTCCTAGCTTGTCGACGGATGGATTAGAGGTGGGTGTTCCGTCAATCTTGATCAGGTCTCGGAGTGCAAGTGCATCCAACTTTGTCCCGCGGTTGGCACTGATCATCCCCTGAACGCTGAGGGCTGCGCCGGCAATGATGGGAGCGGCTCCCGATGTGCCGTCAAAGGGCAAGTAGGTGTCGATATCGTCGGCCGAACCCGCAACTGAGGCGGTGAGAATGTTTTCGCCCCAGGCATGCACATCGATGCGTGCCCCGTAATTGGACTCGAGTACTCTGGTCCGAGGTATCGTCGACGTCGCTGCGCCAACCATGATGGCGCCCGAATCGCGGAACTCGGGACTACTCGGGTTGAGAATAGACGCTGGGGTTGCGCTGCCAATGCAAAGGATTGGAGCATCCAGGTCTTGCTGACCGTTGCCAGCTGGCTCAATGACCGTAATTCCCAAGGAGGTTGCAAGGGAGATGGCGTCGAACACGGCATCGATGATTTCGACGGGAAACATGTTGCCGTTGGCATCGGGAACCTGGATTTCAAGCAATATCGCATCTCCAAAGCCAAGAGCATCGACGGCATCCAGGATGGCCTCGGGATAATTTTCAAAAGGGCCGCCGCCGACAACACGCGTCACCCCGACAACATGCCCCTGAGCTCCAGGGATGATGCCCACGCCGCCAATGTTGTTGTCCACCATGAGCATTGCACCGAGAACGGCTGTTCCGTGCCGGTAATTGGATTGATATCTGTCTTTGACATTCAACCCGGCTAGAAGTGTGATATTAGCATCCACCTGTCAACATCGTGTCTGTTAGTAAGAGCGTGACAAGCTACCAAGGGAGATGGATAGATGTAGCGTACCAAATCCTCATGATCCAGCTTCCAACCCCTCTCAATGTCGATGATGGTAGTGTTGGCTCCATCGCCACCGGGGAATCCCCATGCGTATAGCGCGTTGATACCCTCCCCTGCTGGCGTCATATAGCCCTGGCTTGGAAATAGGGGGTCATTGCTGGGGTCCACGGCGGGGAGGATGCCGCCACCGAGTGGATGGCAGCTTGCTACCTCTTGGTAGCCAGAGAGCGTAGCCAGAAGGTCATGGAGAGTTTGGTTGTCCTCGCTCTCGGGTTCCGGAAAAAGAACTTGATACCATGTGCTGAAATCTGTTGGGACGTAGTCTGGGTTAAGGACAGTCGCTCTCTCGACCAACTGAGTGATTCTCTTTGGTGACACGGTGGTGATGAGAGGATGAACGGTGAATTCTACCTCTCTTTTGCTCAGCCGAGAGTCTTTTTGAGCGTTTCGAATCAGTTGTTCAACGGACTTGATGTCGCCCAGAGAGCGCGAGGAGACCGCGGCTGCTCTATCAATCTTGACGGCAATCGACGATCCGGGAATAATCGAATTTCCTGGTGCCACTGTTCGGCTGGAAGGGGTGGATAACGCGCGAGTAGTTGAGAGAGAAACAGCCCCTAGAAGCCAGCAAAGGGCGAGTTGGATTCTGAATTGAAGCATGTTGGAGTAAGGTGTACCTGTGCACTTTTCAGAAGCTGCATGGTAATTCTAGTTCTCGTCTCTTACAGATACATATAGTTGCCTACCTATCTCCCTTGCCTACCTATCTGCCAGGTTTATGCTCACCGACACCATCAACAGTCATGGGTCTTGTTGTGCCTGAATCCTTTCCAGTACTGCCAAGTGCTTACTTTTATAATCATCGTATTCAAATTACGGGGTCGTCTGTGTGGTCTCGCACAAGCAACTTGGAAAACCTCAGGCCAGAGACGTAGCTCCTGATACCTCATACCTTATGGCAACTACGCACTTTGGTGTCCTCTGTTATCTTTCACCGCTCCTTCTCGGTCAATGACAAGATTGCTTTTCCACGGAATTTTTCTGGTAGATATGACCACAAGGGCTGACAACTCAGTCCTCAACTTGGCAAAGGTCAAATGATGGGAATTCAAGACCTACACCTTGCACGCCTTGCTGATGCCAAGAGCAATGCATATGCAATACGGTTCCCGAGACTTCCGGTCATCATCTCGAGTCTGGGATGATGATCTACCTAATTGAAGGAGGTCATGTGTAGAGTGGCGAAGTAGCTATACCTTTTTTGCACGGCTAATGGCGAAGGATCAAAGGATTTCAATAGTTTGGGACACTGCAAGCCTCTGAAAAAGCAGGGGCCATGAGCGCCTAGATGTGCACTGAATGTGATGGTCGCAGGTTGTCGAATGACTTGGCTAGAACTGCGGCACAGTTTTTCTTTGAACTTTGCCGTAAGGAGGAGTCCCAGAATGTGGTAGCGAGTAAAGATATCAAGAGGCCTCGGAATTAGAAGCTGACCCAGCAGAAGCCCCAAATATACGTTCATGTTTCAGGATGGCCAATATAATGTATGACCGGGTCCTCAGCACCATGAGTTCAAGGCAGACATGGGATGAGACAGTTTCAAGCCAGTGCAAGATGAAGAGCCAAACTGTTTTGAGGCTGTGAAAACTAACAATAACTGACATCAAGGAGCGGCCAGCAAACCACACGTGTCTCCAGTCATATACTTTTTGACACTCATCTGAATATCCATCAACTCTTCCTCCTTGAACCAACCTGATCGGGGCTCATGACTGAGGGGGCCGTACAGCATCCATGCACTCAAGGGCCTCAGAGTCGCATGCCTAGCCTTGTCGTCGGCAAGGCTAACATTGCCACCAGTTCTCAGCAACGCCTCCTTGTACCCGGCCGGGGGACCGGTTGTGACCTGCTTCCCTAGATTGCCAGCCGCGACGTATGCAGGGAAGTCCCCTTGACCTTGGTAGTTCCGCATCACAAATGGGGCTCTTGCGTATCCCACTGGTGCAAATTCGAGGTCAAGAACGGGATAGGAGATGCCATCAAGTGTCAACATGTCGCCTTTTTGACGCGCGAAAGCCTGGCCGTTCTCGTTCCAGAAAAAGAAGCCCGTGATCCATCCAGAGAGAAATACTGGCGGTGATCCGCACACTTTGCCCGCTCTTCCTGTCACAATTTGGTTCCAAAACTCTTTCGTGGCGGGTGAATCGGGCTGTTTGAAGCTTGTGACAAATCTCGAAAGAATAGGACGGAGTCTGGCCTTGTATTCTTCGGGCTCCGGGCCAAAGTCAGGCAGACGATCGAGCTTTGCTAGGAGCTTCTGCCAGTCTGAAAGCTCGCCGAGCAGCGTAACCGATGGTAGTCCACAGACAGGTTTGCCAATGTATTTGAAGTAGGCTTTGGTCAGACCCATCATTAGGATATTGGCCGTCATGACGTCGCTCTCGGTTGTTGTTGAGAAGTTGGGCATGATCCAGTCCATCAACCAATCGGTTTTGACTCGCGCTTGAATTTCTGTTCTGAAACGGCTTAAAATGCGGTACCATGTGAGATCCTCGACGAGAATCTCCCGTTGTCCTTGGTGATTGACGAATAGCTCTCGAACTTCCTCGGCATGAGATGTCATATAAAAGTTCATCTGCACCAAAATGGTGAACCAGACCTCTTCGGGGCGCACGACCAGGTGCAAATGCTCACCCCACGCCTGTATTGCGCCGCGAATGAAAGAGTCACCAGAAGGATACAGCCCGGCATCATTGGATATGTTGGTGGTCGAGTGTGAGCTCAGAATCACCTTGACGGTGTTGTTGACGCTCCAAAGTTCATTGGGGGCGGATTCACGAAAGTAGGCGTCTTCTGTTGTGGCCAAGATCGGATACTGGCTTGTGTAGGGCTTTGGTTCTCCCCCTGGAAGTATAACGACGGCTAAGGCCGTGGCCATCAGCCAGAATCCCACAAACAGCATCTTGTCGAGCTTCAACGTGTTTTCCGGCTGGTTTGGTCTCTTGGAGAAATGTGGTTTCTATGAAAGGGAATGTTGCACACTATTAAAGAGCTAACAACTTGACTTGTCAGCGTGAAGGATTCATCTTGGGGAGCTTCCTATCCCATTTTCGATGTGCTCGTGTACGCCTGGTCAGCAAATAACCGGCTCCTACACTGTGACAGTATCATCCAACGCTCTTCTTCTGATCTCATCTCTTCCGACTATATGTAATGATACCCCATAACAACGGGCGAGAAACCGAGGTGAACTTGCCATTGGTCCGCTCAACGACAAGCTGCTCACGGATAAACAGCATCTCGGCATAACTGCAGCGGCTAAAGAAGACGGGATATATACGAGGGCTAACCCCGCGTTGAGCAAAGATCCTTTGAGTCTTTATCAGGAAATACGGAGCTTCATTTCAACACCAAAAACAAGTATGACGAGCTTACCAAGGCCTGCACTACAAACCCTGTTTCTCTCTTTTTTTTAAAAAAAAAAAAAAAACACTATGACCGTTTCACTACGTGGTGATTGCTATGTTTGATCGTTCTCACAGGTTATTTGGACCCTGACATCCTGTACCCATTAGACAAGCCGTTAATACAATATTACGTATTGCAACGACATGTTGAAGGCTTCTAAGCGGTTGGAGCATCTTAACCTGCTGTCATCCGTGGCAGCCAACTTCTCTTGTGCCATTACTTGATACTGCTATGTGATTTGTAGTAGAACAATGGGGTGGAGAATAACCCAGTGCTTCAGTATGGTCGTGAACTGGTGCACTTCCAGCCTTTCACATCGTTGTACATTGAGTTTTGAGGCTAATAATGGTCTCGACTCCCTTCAAGCCAACGTAGTTCATTGCAACGAAGAATCTCTTTTCGAGATCTCTTTAATGTTTCCATGCCTCATCTGCAAATCAAGCTGCTACAATTTTCGTATCGCACGATTCGCACCCTCTACCATTTTCGCTCACTCAATGGGATGGACTCAGGTAGGCGACCAGCAGCTTTTGGGACAGACCACTCATGGCTATCACGCAGCTTATAGCCGCTATTTGTACGGAAGAAAATTTGCTTAGTGGTTTTCTGACCCCTTAAAGGTTCTGAGACCTTGGTACAAATACATCGATGCCAGGGGTCATGACCTTATTTTCCAAGCCTCTTAAGAGGCATGCTATGGAGAGAGTCTGACATTGTAAAGAAATGTAAGTCAATATACCTGGAACAGCATCTGCAATTATACCCTGAAATATAACTAAATGGTCTCGAAAGGTCGTTAACCGTGACGGCATACGGCAGAGAGCACGGGACAGGGTTAGGGGTGCAGGGAGCAGAGGGAGCAGGAAGAAGGCTGCGACCAATAGGAGAGCAGGGAGGCTGTGGCCAATGGGAGAAGAGCAGGAGGAAGGCACAGGCCAGGCAGGGCAGGGCAAGGATATCTTGGGAGAGCAAGACGGGCCACACACAAACCTTCCTTTCCTTTTTTCTTCTTTATCTTACGATTACATTAGCTACTGGAATACAGTACTGGCCTTGACCTATTGGCACTTCAGCTTGGTAACATTAACGGGCCTCGAAAGGTACTTACTATCTCTCGAAAGATAGTTAGGAGGCTTATTTCCTATTTAGGTAGAAATGTGTAAGTCGACAGTTATTGCATATGGGATGACAACTTGAAGGAAATCAAGGAAATGGAAAGAGTGGTGGATAGGTACTCTGTAGAAAGAAAACACGAAGGATGGGTGGGAAAAATATAATTTCAATAAAATCGTACCTGTAATGTCATTTGGATAGGGGGTTTCGAAGCAAGGTAGACCACGCCTCCCAACACCCCGTTCGGACTTTCATAGATATATAGGCTGTTGGTCTTATGGGGATAATGTTTGTGCCTTCTTCTATGTGTGGATCACAATCAGAGCTTGTTAAAAATACCGTATTGTTGAATACCTACATACTTTCCAGCCTGAAGCAGAAATGTGTAGGTAGTTAGCGACGAACTCGGAGGAGTTCATTCATAACGTAGATTCGAGAAAGCACACCTTGCCACTAGTTTACAGAAATTTGGTGATTACCTATCAACTGCTGAAACTCGTTTTCATTGTGAGCTCTGTTATGAAGGGTTGCATGGAGTATATTGCCTTCAAGGTCAGCCTAATGTATTTCCAAGAATCAAGCAGCAGGAATGCTCTGTCACGATAGGTGGAAGCATCTGTGCTCGACTATACTCCCCTATAACCGGAGGCACGGAAAGGAAAATGCCACCAATACTCTCTCATGATTCCGTTGCTTATCTCTGCGGTAGATACTCAGCCCAGCATTGCGGTTGGCAGGCTCCATGGTGAGTACCGGCATATCAAGCCCCAAACATATCACGACAACCCTGTTTCTTACGGTTCACTGTTACCAAAACAGATAAAAGGGGGTCACCGCATTCTGAATGTTGATGTATTGACTGTCATCGACACTTTCAACTATCAGTTTCAACACCATCATGATCGTCTCAACAGCTGTTGCATGCGCTCTGGCGGCGGTCGTGACGGCATATACTGACATCCGCCACAAGCGATTCATGGTCAAGAATATTGATCCTATCGTTTATCCTGGGCAGTACCGTTCTCATATGCACTCATTCTTTGGATCCGATGCTGTGACCAAAGACCTGCCCACCACGGCCGACCTGCAGAAAGGCTGTGCCTCTGGAGAGAACCCCAACGATTTGTCAGTGTACTGTAAGTTTTCTTATTCTGCTTGTTCTTCATGTGTCAGGCGGCTAAGGCGAGACCAAAATCATCAACATTGAAGGGATTCCAACCCTTTACTATGTACGGGGACCAACCGACTTTGTGGAGGTGAATCCGGGCATGTTCAGCACATACTATGAAAACATCGACAAGGCCGAGATTCCATATCCACAAGACTTTTTTGCCATTGCCGGAAATGCAACAGCGAGAAGCCAGAGTGATGTGAACGAGGGCACCACTGGTCTGACATGGTGGTGTGAAAATGGGCCTGAGGACAGACAAAACCGTAATCGAGCTCTCATGCCTCGCGTGACGTGCAGCGGCAATATCCAAGTCATTCTTCGGTTTCCGGATTGCGTCCAGACAAGCAACATCAAGAACTATGCCTACACCGCAGCGAACGGTGGCCGTTGTCCCTCAGGTATGAAACGAATTCCGCAGCTCCGGTTCTCTGTTCGATACAATGTTCGCAGCCTGTTTCCCAAAGGTTGGTCCGGCACTCCACCTCTGAAGTTGGCTTGCGGCGAAGTTGGCGAAGGGTACTGCTTTCATGGGGATTTCATCAATGGGGTGGTTTGATGACGCTCAAAAAAATCTGCTGAAGGCCACGAGCCGCAACCAGTGGATGAGAGTTGACGGCGCCAGGGGGGAAGGGAAAGCCGGGACAACATGTGGGCCCAAAGATCGGGAGCCGGCAAAGGGAACAAGTGACTATCTTACAAGTGTCGACATGATGAAGATGCACTAGACAGCATATCAGTAGTGTAGAGTTTCATCAGGGCTTGGCCTTGCCTTGATCCCCTCGCACCTTCCACTCGCTCCCAAGTTCGCTGCAACACTGCGAATCGCCTAACTGTGTTTAGACAGCTGAACTTTGGATCAGTTGCTCGTTTGTGCATCTTGCAGGCTTGCAGCAGCCTCAGCACTACAGCGCGCTTAAATCCCAAATCAGACGAGTCAGGTGTGTGGACACTGGCGGGAATCGATCGATCGTGATGTGTCGCTCCCTTCTCCACTCGCCCTGCCAAGGAGAGGCCAATGACAAGTGTCGGTCAGAGACACCACAACAGCCACGTCACGATGCCACTCGATATGGGCCCGCGCTAATCGCCCACCGCCCTGCCAAGGCCGTCCACGTTAGCAGACTCGGCAGACTCTGGCAGTCTGGGCCCCGTTATCACAGCGGGGAACTGTCTTTTGGGCTCCAAAGTAGATCCCAAGTGTGTTCGTGTTTGGGGTTGGGCTCTGGCTGATTTTCTTGTACAGACTTCATTGGGTACACGGCGACGGCACTCCATCCTTGGCGCGTGGGCCCAGTCATCTGCAACGTCTATGGATGTCAGCACATTGGTGCATGCCGTGTTGGAGACTTTGGGCAGGAAGCGGGTTTCGCTTTTGCATCGTGGAGATGCTCGGTGGGTATCAGGAGACCTGCTCAAGAGTGCAAGATGGTTGTTAAATAGAGAGCAGTTGTTCATGGACGACTGACCTCTTTTTCCTCCCAGACACAATCACATCTTCACTCATCAACCTTTTCCCACCCACCACCGCTTACCACCATCAACATGATTGACGCCCAGGAACTTGTAAGTCTCCCCTGACTCGAACCGCATGCGCAAATGAAAGACTGACATTGTCCAAGCGTCGCCGCTGGTCGGACAAGACCGAAGCCGTCTTCACCTCTGCGGACCTCAGCAACTACGTCGAAATCCCCGCCCGCAACTATGAGCGCACATTCGACTTTCAGGGCTGCAAGTCCATCGTTTTTCTCAAGGGCGAGCGCACCGGTACCGAAGAGGATGTGATCCTCATGTCCCAGGGCACCGGCCGCATGGTCCTTCCTGCCGGTGTGCAAGTTCTCGTCACCGACGGTTACACCAAGTGCAGCTCTAATCCTACCGACGCCGCTCGTTCTGGCTCCACCGTCACCTCTTCCACCCCCAAGCCTGTCGCGGGTAAGGATGACGGTTGGACTGTTGTTGCCCAAGCCGATGGGTACTAGAGCCGGCGCATCAACATGACCTCCCGGGATGCACGCAGCGCCCCCTTTCTTTCTCAACCAGCCTCTGGTTCACTGAGCTTCACCTCAGGAGTCCATCGGTCACTCTTTCTTCGATTCTGTGCGGTTTTTAGTGGTCCGCGGTTCTTTGGGATACATTTACGATTTTTGGGCTTGGGTGCCTACTTTGTGAGGACAGCATTGGGATTACATTTGGGATATTGGATATCAGCATCACCAGCATCAGCATTTCTGCATCATGAGCATGACCATCGATAGAGAATACAACTGTTTTGACTTTTTTCATTTGACACTGCCAGACTGTGTACTGACTCGGATCGACTTGGATGTCGGCTATATCACGATATCCGTATTAACCGGGGCATCTTCCACTGGCGGCTATTCGCCTTGACCTCCAGAATTCCTACTGGGAATTCTATCTGGGACAGGGTAAAACTCGAAATTCTCGGCGTTGTCAGTGCTCAGCTCGCCAAGTGATTATGCCCAAGCGAACACCGTAGCAAGATGCTGGGTAAACAGTTTGATATCTCCTCCATCTCATCGGAATAGAACCGACCAGCGGGACAAGTCAAGAAACAAAAGCTCATCATCATGGCTAGTAAGTATATCTTTTGACAATGAGGACGGCAGGTCGCTGACATGACTCCCAGAACCCACACACCGTCTGGCCTTCAAGTTTTCACCCATACTTTGGTCTTGTTTCTTCCTGACTATCAACCATGTTTCTGCCCTTCAGACCATATGTCTCAATCCTCTACTCTCCCCATTATCTGCTGCACCGAAGCAGTCACCTCTTTTAGTGGATGACGAATCGGATTCCTTTGACATTCCCAATCTGCCGTGGACCCACCAACCTCTCTGCTCCACGTCCTTCTCCGACATTCCAGGCGAGAAGTTTTGTGTCTTTTCGTCCGCGTCGTACAATCTAGGGGCTGGAGTTTCCTTTCTGACAACTCCAGAAACTGCTGCTGGCCTGGTGGTGGCCATCGACAGAGCTGCGAACCATTGGCTAGAGAGAAGACATTTCAAACCCCAGGAGGAGTTTCAGCATCCCGATCTGCCATACGCCATCATCTCTATTCCCGGAAAGGGAAAAGGAGTCATCGCAACCAGAAAGATCAGCCGGTTTGAAACCATCATGCGCGCCTTTCCTGCCGTGATTGCGGATAACGCTTTTTTCCCCCGGGAAGAGGAGGACGAAGCAGGTGTCAAATTCAAGGTGACAGAGGGAGGCACGCGCAAGGCCACACCAGCAGGAGAATCTGTGGGAGCAAGAGGTTTTGTAAAAGGTAGAAAGTATTACCAGCGAGCGTTGGAGCAACTGGGGGACAGACAACGGGTTTTGAACCTGGCGAGGAGCAGAAAAGGTGAAATGCATGTGCTGGAAGATGTGATCCGCACCAATGCCTTTGGCATGACAGTCAACGGTCGTGATTGCAAAGGGCTGTATCCCGAGATTGCGGTTGGTCTCATGTCTTCCTATTTTCCATACGCGAAGAGTGACTGACAGAACATAGAGGATGAACCACGCTTGTGATCCCAAGTAGGTCTCGGAGCCAGCATTTTTCAGAGAAGTCAAGAGTGGCTGATTGCTCTAGTGCCTTTCCACGCTTCACCTCCAACGATTTGGTCATGTCGGCGGTCGCAACGAGAGATATCATGCCGGGAGAAGAGATCACCATTAGCTGTAAGGTTTCCAGAAGTTCATCCGGACGCCCTCGAGTACTGCCCTCTAACATACACAGATATCCCGCTGGGCATGCCCACGTCATACCGTGCCAAATCGCTGGGCAACTGGCATTTCAACTGCACCTGTGCACTTTGCACGGCCCCGGCCGAGGCCAGAGACGCGTCCGACTCTCGTCGCGAGCGGCTGATGGAGCTGTTTTATGCCATGCAGGACTCGGAGACCCAATATGACGCTTTGGTAGATTGGACCCGAGAGTTCATCGAGCTGGCACAAGTGGAAAGGCTTATTACCAAGATTGGGGAATACTACCAGGTTTTCATGAAGTTATACTATGATAAAGGGGACCCGGAGAGCGCGAAAAAGTACGGAGAGGCTGCATTGTACTTTGCCGAGATCTTTTCAGACCCCGAGGGTGGATTCTGTACCAGTCTGAGAGAAGACTTGCAAGTTGTCGAGAAGGTTCTTGCAGAGAGCAAGGCAAAGTTGGGGTAAAATTGGGTTCCTAGAGCAGATCAAAGACTACCTACAAGTAGCTGAGCAACGTTGATGCTTGAAAGAGCGTAAGATCAACGAGGGCGAACTATCAGAAGATTTTCCAATACAGATATTGGTAAAGACAGAGAGAAACCTAAAGTAGACAATCGAGAGCAAGGCTGAGCAACCACCGTCTAAGCATTAAAAGGAAGAGCCACAAGCGATCTTTTAGGAACATGAGGCTTTGTAACATTGCCCAGCGGGGTGGTAGAGTTGGGAAAGAAGGCAAAGTCAACCTTTTGTTGATCATGGCGACGCGAAAGTATACCGGTAGGGAGAGGTAGACTAGGTGCCGTGGTTGTCGGGAACGGGATTGATATCGAGACTGTTGAGGTTGGGATTGGCAATGAGAGAGTTGGCGTGGTGATTGGAATTGTGAGAGTTGGGGTTGGTATAGGCAGGGTTATCGTAGTGAAGACCTGAGGAGATCGGATGGCATGACGCTTGTACCACTTTTTGAGGAACGGATTGGTTGCATTGTTGCCAAGGTGAATCGTCGAATTCGCAGAAACGGTTGAATTGGCGGAAACAGTCGTCGAGTTGCCTACGTTATCAGGAAGAGTTGTGTTGTGTGATGCGATCGGCCCTGACACATACTCGAGACTGTTGCCCGTATCTCTTTTCAGGGGCTTCAGAAGTCCTGAACCAAGTTTGCCAGGTCGTGAATGTAATTGAGGAGAGCTCGACAGGAATGCGCAATCTGTTTTCGACCTTTTGTCTACCACATGACAAGGGGGAAGGTCTTGGCCGCTGTTAGCTGCAAGTTGAAGCTTGAGTTTGTAAAAGTCAAGCTTACCTTTGATGAAAGCATCCTTGCCAAATGTGTGACAGTGTTTGAGATATTGCTTCCTTGCTTGGATAAAGGTATCGTCAAACAGCTTGACCCATGGGCTCCAGCTTAGGGTCAGCACCGATGACTGTGTTTGGGACCTGAGACAAACTCACTTATCCACAGTGCTGCAGTCAGCTAAACATGCGGCATGTACAAGTTGCCCGCGTTTGACATGGCCGATAGAAGGGCAGTTGTCAAACGCGCACATTCGCTTCACGAGATCAGGCTTCACAACCGTGCAATGGACCGAGGCCACGCTCTGTCCACACAGCAAAGCAAGGTTGAAAACGGCAAGGAATTTCATCCTGGGCTAGAAGGATTCGATGGCAAAGATGGGAGCGCTGGTGACGAGTACTCATCCATCATTCACTTCTTTCTCCTCTTATATGCCCAGACATTATTGTTGCCCCTGTTGATCCTGCCGTTTCTACCTTTCCCTTTCCCAACCTACGTGCCGAAACCCGCATCTATGACTATGCTGATAAGATTTCAACCAAAGGTTATTGCAATTCACAGGTACAATGCAGAAAGGTTGGCGATCCAAGCGCTGGACTGGCGGTTAAACTATCCGTACTTCTGTTTGGCGATTGGAGATAGCATCAAGATAGGCGCGGTTTTGAAGCTGTTATAAAAGGTTAAACTTGCTACCTGCACCGCGATTTGCAGACTCACCTTGCCAACACAGATCGGGTAATGGCTGCCACAAAAACGACTTACCCCTGAAATGCCAAGCCAACTTTCCGAATGTCTTCACAACATAATGACGACATCAAGTTGTGGTATATGCCGGCAAATAGGCGAAAGCTCTGAGCCGAGACGAGACTCTTTTAATCCCCTGGATAACTGCCGAGTGTCTCTTTCAATGACTGCGACATTGAGTTGCAACGGTTGGCCACACAATATGTTCTCTTGGCTCTGTGTCGCTCAATCAGCATTTCGAGAATGCGGTTCTGTCTAAGAGAAACCGATAACATGCCGTCTAAAGGCAAGATGGTTTGCCATTTCACCAACACCGCTATGAGACAAGTTGAAGGCGTGCAGTTGTAAGCGAAATGGCCGGGAGGGAATTTTTTTCCGCCAGTTGGATGAAAGCCAGTGATCATGAACCTGCTCACAGACCGGACCATTTACTCCTAGATGTATTTCAAGTTGTCGAAAGCGGTGTTATTTTGGATAAGAGGTTACTCTGCGAGCGGTGACCAATTCAAGGCTACGGAAGGAAGGGTGATAGATCCAGGGAGTGTCCCTGAGATGATGAATTTGCGATCAATACCGGACTCAAGAAACCCCAGACCAAAATTTCAAAGCTGAGCCTGCCAGAACTCCATTCCAAGTTCAAACTCTCTGCCCTCCTCAGCGGGCCTCGTCACCACTCCAAGTCCAACCAACGAATTCACCCAGTAGTACCGTTCGCTTCCCGTCTCCATGCCGATTCTGACTAGAGTCCGCTTCCGTGCATCATCAGACTGTCTTTCCCCAGAAAGAGTGATCTGGATAAACTCCCCGTCGTGGGTTTTGAATGTGGTCCTGACATCAGCTGTAAAGCTCTTGTCTGGATCAAGGCCATACTTCGGATCAAGCAGGGCCCAGTCCGCACCAATCGGTAAGATGGTACCTGGATTTGTCAGCTGTTCTGTCGAGAGGTTGTGGTGGTGAGAGATTGGTACCCTTAAGTCTAGGTCCCCAGAAGGTGCCGTTCAAGATGGGAATAACCAGCCGAATGCCTCTTGGTCCGCTTCCAATCGGGATAGCGTCACCCAAAGTAAAATTGACCGAGCAAAGATGGTTCAGCGACGGGGGTTTGGGGGACTTTATACCCTGCACGGCTGATGAAGCCGTGGACGAGAACAAAAGACCTGCGAGAAGTGTGAAGCTCTTCATGATGCCAGAGATGAGAAGTCTGGTTCTAGTCTAAAACATCTCCAGTATCTTGGACTGCCTGAGCCCTATATATTCAGTTGCTCTTGCCCTCTTTCGCTGATGCCATAACAACTGCCTATGCGCTCCTGTTGGCCCAATTTGTCAGAAGGAGCACCCAGTTTGTCATCTTGTGTAGCTCCCACGTCGATTCAATAAGACAGTCCCAATTTGGTAACGAAGGATTTCATTGCGAGCCGTCGGACTCGCTTTTGCATTTCTCAGCCGTTGATGGATATGACCAATGCTGATGTTGACGATGCGTGTTTGCTGGTGGTTTTGATCATCGTCTCCTCAGCTCCGCCGAGTCAGCTCATCCCTGGACTTGATCCACCATGACGTAGCTAGGCTCTCACCCCTCACTTCCAATGGTCCTGAAGCCCAACTACGAGTGCTAGGAAATTCGGCGTGAGGGAGACCTTTTAAACGGTCGAGAACAGCCTTGAAGACATTCCGGTTCCTGGCGAATATGTGTCATGTCGGACCGAGGTCATACGGGTACGGACGCCGGTGCTTTCCACTATTTTCCGCCAAGCTGGCGACACAGGTGCTGTGCCTTGCGCCGCGTTTCTCCACCCACGCCGACATGACCGGCCGAGATGATGGGTGGTTTGACATCATGGGAATACGGTGAGAGTGTGCAGAAAAAAAATACACTGCCCTGCTCGTCCGTCCGGCTTCGCAAAGCCCAAAAAAGCCTCTTGGGCCATCGGACCGACCATGTCTTGATGACATTGCCAAGAGATTGGGGGTTCAACTGGGTTCTGTCAGAAATCCCAACAGTTTCTTCAGTTGGCAGCTGTCAAAAGCCTGCAGGACAGGCCGCAGGAATCACTGCCGGGCCGCAGCACATGCCGAAGCCAGTGCTTTGGCTCAACACCCCACCTGGCCAGCCCGCGGGGTGCCGGTGGACATGGTGGGGTGATTCTCCTGGACCGGGATGCCCCGCTCCTGCCAGCGACTTGTCGGTGGTCTTGCAACTCGTCTGAGCAACCGCGACAGAGTCCAGGTGCGTCATACAAAGCACTCATTTTTCCTTCCACTCCCTTCTCGTCTCCTTACATTCATCTTTGGACCAGTCACTCCGTTTTCCTTCAGCAATCACCGCACAATTAGCTTTTACCTGTCTACCGATATCACAATGGGCATCCTCGATGTAAGCCACAACCTAGACCTCCTGTCGTCTACCAGCAGCTGACATGTACTTTTTAATAGGAGCTTAACCTCCCCGCCGGAGTCATCTACGTACGTCCAACCCCCAATCCGCATATCCGCAGCCAATTCTCCGACAGAACCTCCTGACCTGTATTCTCTTGCTGCTTGTGTAGGGCGACCATGTTCTCCAGCTTTTCCAGCACGCCCGCAAGGTCGGGTTTGCGATTCCTGCCGTGAACGTCACCTCGAGCTCGACTGTTGTCGCCGCCCTTGAGGCTGGTAGGTTCCTTCCCAAGTCCCATGCGTGATTTGTGCTAACCTTGACCCCCAAGCCCGTGACTCCAAGGCTCCCATCATCCTCCAGACATCGCAAGGTGGAGCGTAAGTCACCATTGGTTTGCTCTACAATTCTCCCTGCAAGTGCTGACTTTGGCGACTAGCGCCTACTTCGCTGGAAAGGGCATCAAGGACAGCTCTGAGAAGCGTGAGGGTGAGTCCCCCCATCTCTTGTTTCTAGTGGTGTTTGATGCTGAGGATTTGTAGCCTCCGTTGCTGGCGCGATAGCTGCCGCCCACTACATCCGTGCCATCGCCCCTTCGTACGGCATCCCCGTGGTGCTCCACACCGATCACTGCGCGAAGAAGCTCCTTCCATGGTTCGATGGCATGCTCGAGGAGGACGAGAAGTTCTTCAAGAAGAACGGCACGCCCCTTTTCAGCAGTCACATGCTTGATCTCTCGGAGGAATCCGTCGAAGAGAACATTGAGACTTGCGTCCGTTACCTGAAGCGCATGGCTCCTCTTAAGCAGTGGCTCGAGATGGAGATTGGTATCACTGGCGGCGAGGAGGACGGTGTCGATAGTAAGTAAATTGGTGACACAGAGATGCGCTTTGCTAACCCGAGGTATCCAGACTCTGGTGTTGACAACTCCGCTTTGTACACACAGCCCGAGGACATCTTGCAGATCTACAACGCCTTCAAGGACATCTCACCGTATTTCAGCATTGCTGCTGGCTTCGGCAATGTTCACGGCGTCTACGCCCCTGGAAATGTCAAGCTGTATGTCTTGCTCCATGCTAAAACGCGCACCGCCTGAGTCAATTACTAAACCACAATCTCATCTTGCCAGTCACCCTGAGTTGTTGGGCAAGCACCAGGCCTATGTCAAGGAGCAGCTGAAGTTCTCCGAGGACAAGCCCGTCTTCTTTGTCTTCCATGTGAGAATCCACCCTTCGTCGTCCTACTCTGGGCTCGCATACCCAGGCTGCAGGACCTCTACTCTTGGCTCACGTTCACCACGGTTTGTTCTTGAACAGGCCTCGAAACTATGAGGCTCTCTTGCCTCTGAGCTACGTGATTCCTTCACGCTCGAGTACTTTTGGTTCTTTGCAAACTGGGATGCGAGCCAAGGTCCTTGCCAGAGACGCCAAGACCGATTATGCTAACGAGTTTGTCACAGGGCGGATCTGGTTCTTCCTTGTCCGACTACCACACTGCGATCAGCCATGGGTAAATTGCCCCTGCACATGTCAAGACTAGCCCGTTCGAGATGCTAACAAGAGAATAGTGTCGTCAAGGTGAACGTAGACACTGACTTGCAGTGGGCTTACCTGACGGGCATCAGAGATTATGTCACCAACAACATTGACTATCTCAAGACCCAAGTTGGAAACCCCGAAGGCGGGAACAAGCCCAACAAGAAGAAGGTGAGTGTAGTGACGTGTCCCCACATTTCTTGTTTTGGTTATACTGATAACCATCAAGTACGACCCTCGTGTCTGGGTCAGAGAGGGTGAGAAGACCATGAAGGCCAAAGTTGAGGACTGCCTCAAGGCGTTCAAGACTGCCGGCACCTTGTAAGGTGTGCCGTGGTAGGCATGGGGCAATATGTGGACAAACACAATTGCCCGTGAGGGAGGGTGAACAACGGGACAACCTTGCTCAAAAGGCCATGTGGGTTTCTCAAATTATTACCTAGAACCAAGATCCAATGAGACTGCGATGCCCCCATCTTGACTTTTCGCCAGCATTTTACAGGTTCCATGCAATAGGGAATATAATGGGCAAGTATTACCAGTTGATCTCTATTCTCTCCACTATTCCTCATTCGCACATGTCACTGATGGTCTCGTTTCTTGACTGCATCTTTCCATGCTGCGCTGATGGCAGTCCAGTACTTATCCGGGTGGGCTTTCATGTGGCCAACATGGCGGGTGCCCTCAAAGGTCTCAGCCGACACGTCCCATCCCTTGCTTTTTGCATCTGCCGCGTGCCTTTCAATATCCTCCCAATGAATGATGTCGTCTTCTTTGCTGTAGAGGTATAGCCGTTTCGAGGTGATGTCGGACAATGATGGATCGTTTACGGCGGCTACAGAGAACACTGCTGCAGAAGTAGCTCCCATGATCTGACCAACGCCATGCAGCGTTGCGAGGAACAGCGCCGCCATCGCCTGGATGACGATAAAGGGGAGAAAAGGCAAGACTCTCGAAGCTCCTATTGCCATGGCTCGTGACCAAGGAGCAATGTTGGGAAGGAAGGCGGTGCTCCCTGGTGTTGAATCAAGGACCATGAGGTCATAGGGGAACACCTGAGCTGGTTCAGTGGGCTGGGCTCTAGTAAAAGCGTACATGGTGGCGGCCAGGTTCATCCCTCCAGTGTTGGACATGACTTGCAGGAGGATTCGTTCTTTGGACTCGGCCTTGGAGGGCACGGCAGAGGAGCCAAGGGAGGAAATGGGCCCGTAGAGGGCCTCGATTACGGGTATCATGGTTTTTGAACGAGAGTCGAGGGTCTGGTACAGCGTCTTGAGGATCGGAGAGAAGATGAGGACCAGCCGGACATAGGGAAATAGCGTCGTGTAGCCAGTAACATATTTGGACAGATGTTTCGGCGCGGCATCCCCCCAGCCATATATGATCACGGTTGTTGGATCGGTTTCGTGAGCGCCTGGGGGAGGAGAGGAAACGGGCTCTTGAACGTAGACTTGCTTGCTGAGGCGGGTGAAGGTTTTCAGCAACGGTGCTTCATCGGGATGATTTTCGGGCCCTGAGGCGGGAGGCGGTGGCGGTTCGGCGTTGGTCATCGTGGTGGTCAGTCAGGTTGAAGCGCTGGGGGTTTGCGAATGTCAACAGAGCCAAAGAAAAAAGTACACCATCGTAAACTGGACATGGGATAATTTATCGTCAGTCAACCAATGTTCTACAAAGTACCCTGCCCCTTCTTCCCCAACAAAGCATGCTGGCAATCCACATTTGCGAACATCTCGGGTGGGGCTGGGAAGAAGTTGAACTCGAACCGCCTGCTGCGCTGCAGGGATGCGTCCATCTTGTCAACCAGCAATGTCGCCAATCGAGACAAATCAGCCTGGCAATTGTGAGGTGAGCCCAAATAGCAACGACTTGGATGGCAGGTTCTGGAATTGTTGGGATTCCAAGAGTTTGAGGTGCGGTAGACAACTTTGCAGTTGACATGTGAAGATGGGGTTTCCATGGTCTTCAAGGATGTGAATCGCAGCTGTGGCTGACCCACCCCTACCTCTAATCTTTGGTAGAGCCGAGGTCCAACTTCCAAGGGTTCCCTGCTTGGTTGGCAAGAGATGGGAATAAGGCCAATCATGTATGGGAAAACTAGCATTTGTTTCCAATAACTAGGGCAATTGGTCTAGGGGTATGATTTTCGCTTCGCATCCATACAGCTGCGTCCTGTGAAAGGTCATGGGTTCAATTCCCATATTGTCCAAACCTTTTGATCATTGATGATCAATAATCTTTATTTTTTTTGCCGGCAATAACTCCCTTGGTGTGGTCTGTTTGATACAGGCACACTCAGTTTTTATAACATTCCTACTTGGCTTGATCAGGATCAGGCTGCAGCAGGTGGTGGTGAACGAACGGACTTCGGATTTCTTTCTACGGCAGCCGAGGTCAGCTGTGGGTCTATTTTCTTGATTATTCTACCACATGGAGCTCTTATGTATAGTCGAGCTGCAGGTCTGTATGTAATAAACCTGTTTACAGGTCCATCGGATCTTTCAGAATCATTGTAGCAACAAATCAGACAGTACTCCTTTGCACCTGTTATCATGTCTGCCCTCATCTCTTTTTCCCAAGCCACCAAGGTGGAGAGACTCGACTCCCACACATACAAAACTAACCTGCTGGACTCCTATTGCATTGGGACTGGTATGATTTCGTCCTTTCTCGGTTGCCCTCTTATACCTAGGTACTCTGACTGACATCAACTGCAGTCCCCAATGGCGGGTATTCCGCTTCTTGCCTGTTGGAGGCAGCCCGTTTGCATTTGGCATCAAAACACCAAAAAGATGCCATGACGTCGCATTTCCAATTTCTCAATCGAACCGAAGTTGGCCCTGCTATCATCATCATCTCGGAAACCAAGCCAGGAAGACAGTTCTCGATGCTTCATCTGACACTCTACCAACGAGGACTACTCGACCAAGCGCCCTGGATTACCAAGGGAACGTCCCGGGCCGAGATCACGGCCTATCTGACCATGACGGATCTCTCCAGAGAGCAAGGACTCACACTGCCCACTTTGTGGTCATTGCCGTCCAAGACTGCCTCTCCAGACTTTTCCCTGTTGAAATCAAAGAGGCAGGATGACAACTGGCGGGAGCTCGACCTTGGATCTTCCGGAGCGTTTGGCACATACGCACGGGTTTTGGACAACTGCCATTTTTACTTTCCAAAGCGGGGACAGGAGCACCCGAGTGTAATCGACCTGTGGATGCGATTCAAGATCCCGTCAGAGGGGTTCACAAACTCCTCCCTCGGGCTCGTCAGTGATGCTTTCCCCTACGTCGTCGAAGCGTTTCGGCCCCCTCCAGGCGGCGAAACAGATAAGCCATTCAAAGCGACCGAGATGTTCTGGTATCCGACGATCGTGATGAGTCTGGAACTGAAACGTTCGCTGCCCGAGGAAAAGGGGGTTGAGTGGCTCAGGTTGAGGATGCAAAGCAAAGAGATCAGAAACGGAAGACTGGACCTGGAAGTGGTGATTACGGACGAAAAAGGGGAGTTGATCGGGGTCAGCAACCAGGTCAATTTGATCCTGGGCAGCGAAAGAAACACCGGAGGCCGGGAGATTGGGAAGATCTGAGGCCGTGTCGGGATCACGTAGTACCTGGGCCACGTTGCATTGGAGGGTGTCTTTAGCCGGAAGCTACGCGGGTAGGACCACCCCTTCGTCAACGTCTTCTGTATAAAGCATTCAGCGACAATACGATATCCAGTCAAAATGTTGCCATGGGTTTCCGTGGCGTTCATGTTGTGTCCCAAGTTCAGGTGTGGCAATATCGGTAGGTAGGGTAGGTACACTCTCACCTACAGGCTACCCACTGTTTCACCGCCACCAAAAAGACCACCAGCTACCCAAGTTCCATGCAGAATTCATTCAATCCTGGTTGTTTTGCAACAAACGAGAGGCGCGGGAACAACCAACAGGCGAACCCACCTGAGGACAACGCTGGGACACCCTTCACGCCCGTTCTTCCCCTCTAAATTGATAAAGTCCTCTTCTTGTCTGTTCCCAACTTCTGCAGCAAATCTGCCTATTGAGTCATCCGCACTGTAAGTCTGCACAAGTGATTAACCTGAGCCTGAAATCTGACTCACAGATAACAGAAACAAAAGAAATGGCGAGCCATCTTGTGCTCTGGGCCTTGCTCCCGGTTGGCGTGTATCTTTTGGCGACGGTGTGGCATCGCAGGTTCAAGCAGTATGCCCACTTTCCACAGCTTAAGCCGTCTTTTATTTGGGGACACATGAAGACCATTCATGAGTTTACAGTCAAAAACAATGACCTCCCTGATCTGCATATTGGTGAGTTGCTATCCAGATCTTGTATTACTCCTGTACTCTGGTGACCAGTCGCTAATAGATAAACAGACTGGATCTTCCGTGACATGGTCAAAGCTGCCGGTAACCCTTCTGTGCTTCTCGTCGACCTCTGGCCAGCCAGGTATCCCATGGCCGTCATTTCGTCTCATGAGGTGGCCGAGCAGCTGTCGAAAGCGACGAAGCAGTATCCTTGGAGCGCCCCAAAATCTCCTACCATAGCCGACCTTGTGGACCTCATCGGGCCTCACTCCATCTTGTCCAAGCAGCGAGAGGAATGGAAGTCGATGAGAAAGCAGTACAACCCTGGATTCGCGCCGAAGCACCTCATGACCTTGCTCCCCTGTATCATTGACAAGACTGAGATCTTCCTCGGTAGACTGAACAAGCTCTGCGAAAATGGCCAATCTTTCCCCTTGACCGACCTCATTATCAGCTTGACATTTGACATCATCGGGGCGGTGACGATGGGCATCGACTTTGACGCCCAGATCCCCGACTCTTCCAGAGAGGGCGAGTTCATCAGGGTTTATGACCAACTAGTCCAGACATTTCATGGAAGAAGCAACATGCTTCCGTGGTGGTGTTATCCAAAGCTGGCCCTCAAACGATTCCGTCTTGGGAAAAAGGTCGATTCCCTTCTGGAACAGATGATTCGGCTGAAGCATGGCGAGGAGCAGCCACAGGAAAAGCGCAGTGTGCTGAGCCTGTCACTGCAGGGACACGACGTGCTCGACGAGCAGCTGCTGGCTCAGACAATCGATCAGGTAAAGACGTTCCTGTTTGCAGGGCACGACACGACCTCGATTCTTCTCGCTTGGGCATTCTACTTTCTTCACCGGTACCCCAAAGCGCACGAGGCACTAGTTGCAGAGCTGGATGCCCTCTTCGGCCCCGAATCAGGTGAAAGCTTCGAGCTGATGAAGCACAAGCTGCTGAGTCCAGGAGGGGATGAATTGCTCAACAACATGGCCTACACCACCGCCGTCATCAAGGAGACGCTGCGCCTATGCCCACCAGCTGGTACGGCAAGGATGGCGCCACCAGGAAGCAACTTCGTTGTCCACACCCCTGAAGGACAACACCTCTGTCTCGATGGCATGGTGGTTTATAACTGCGCCACCATCATACAGCGAGACGCTCAAGTGTTTGGTGATACTGCGGACGAGTTCATGCCCGACAGATGGCTAGGCGACAAGAGCGGGATTATGAGCTCGAGCAACGACGGGGACAGCACCATCGAAGAAGACAGACGGTTTCCCGCCAGCTCTTGGAGACCGTTTGAGCGCGGTCCCAGAAACTGCATCGGCCAGGACCTTGCCACGATCGAAGCAAGGGTCATCATTGCGTTTGTGGCAAGAAAATACACCTTTTCCAAGGTGGGCTTGGGAGAGCTGGAAAGGAATGAAAAGGGAGCTTTCATTCTTGAACCAACACGAAAATGCCGTCTCAAGGGCAAACCAGTGTACAATGTAAGCTTGTCTGTACATACCTATTTCACAGGTTTACCACTAACACGGGTTGCCAGAATCAACAGGTAACTGCTAAGCCGGTAGATGGGATGCTGATGACGGTGACGACGAAGTGATCACTCCATTGTTCAGTTGAAAGGGGTATTTTGGGCCTTGGGGTATCTAAAGTTTTGCTTGAGCTTGGATCGCGGTATGGCTTGATGTGTTCAGTCCGCTCATGTCAGATTTCAATATTAACAATGGTTGCGTTCGTTCCATACCGGATGTTGACTTTGACTGCCCGCCTGAGTGGTCTATGTACAGCCTCACATGCGTAAGCTTTTGACTGGGTAAATCGACACTGGCTGGAATAGCATGGAAAGGCGCAAAATCGCAGTAGCTTGGGGGAAAAGACAGACCGACCTGTTCGAGGAGCGGGGTGTTGGAGGTGGACCGAAAATCCAGACAGTCATGTAGGTACCCAAAAGGGCGCGCTGACGTCAATTCCACACGGAGAGCTGTCTATTGACCCCCCTGTCATCCCCCACCCTAATAAGCCCAACTGCTGACATTTTATCTTTATCGGTTACAATTTTGGGCGCACACACCGCCTAATTCTCGTGATTCGGACCATTAAGTACCAAATAGACATTCAAATGTTGAGGCGGAGACGTGCGGACGATGCCGACCTGGATCCAAATGGATATCGTCTGCGGATGGTGGCCCTGAATTAAAAGCCACTGGCCCCCGCATCTTAGAGGTTCTTTTGCTTGCTTTTATTTTGCAGAAGGCCCAGAAACACTCAAAAATTCTACAACCAGATATAAACGGTTAGTTGAGTCTGCATCATGGCTGCCTTGACAGAGAGCCTCTCCTCAAGGGCAGTAGGAGAGGTTCCAACCTCAACCACGATGAGCATCAGCCAAGAGCCGAGTGATGGGCGGTTTTCTTCAACATCTGCCGACGAGAGCCCGGGCCTCACAACGTTTTCCCTATTCTCACTTCTCCCCGCGGAGCTCCGTCTCAAGATATGGTCAGGCTTCCTTGTTCTCGTGTCTCAACTCACATGCCGCCAACTAATGGTTGAAGCTTAAAGGCGTCTCTCATTCTTCCCTCGTACAGTCGTCCTTCACACCCGCCGCACCCACTATGCTGATGACAACCACCGAGACCAACCCAAGTGGCAATCACTCTCCTTCAACCCTGTCGCTCTTTCGGTCTCTATGGAAGCCCGCCAGGCAGCTCTCAGGCACTATAATGTTGCGCTTCCCCTTTACGCTCCTTTCGTCCGACACCACCCCCTAGACCCAGAGATCAATTCGGAACGGCCTGGCGACCTCCTTCCTTCCCGCTCGCTGTATCTCAACCTAGAGCATGACACAGTCGCCTTGCTCGGTGATCTCCATTACACCCGGTTGACGAACCTGTTGGATTGGCTCCGAAAGACGGGTGCATCCACTCTGAGGAACCAAAAGGGTAAGGCGAGGGGGCTGAGAAGGCTGTCAATGAGCATGGCTCCCTGGGCTCACCCAGTGGGGGCAGCCACTCTCAAAGCGTTTGCGCGGACCATTTTTGCCGACCTGGATGAGTTTATCTTGTTTCTATATGCAGAGCGCATGCCGCCGGCCGAGTGGAAGGGCGGTAAATGCGTGCTGCAGCAAGCGAGTGTCGATACTGATTACTATCGCCGCTTCCTCCTGAGCAGAGGCAAGCAGTTTGTTGATGGGGACGGGTGGATGAAGGTTGGCAAGAAGCCCATGAAGGTGGCCGAGATTCAGTTTGTGGATGGGTGGTGACTTATTACTCTACGTTTGGGGTTCATCGCAAGTCACTGGAGAGGGCATTTTCCAGCCATTTCTACATTGCCCGCCCGCCCAATAAACTATAATACAAGATTATACACGATGCCACTCGCCTCGGCCATTGCAGCCGTTAAGCCAGTCTCCTTAGTATTCTATCGCGGACAACGCGATGCGCGGCTTCGGCGCCATTTTGAAGAGAAACGGCGCCGACGATGGCCAAGACTGATGTGTTGAGTACCGAAACAATACCCGAGAGTTCGAGGTTTTCAGGCTGCCAGACAGAGTTTATTCGTTAGCCGATTCAGTCAGGGCATTGGCAACGGGGGAGAAGAGCTATACCATCTTGGGTTTCCACCGGGTGATTTCACCCAGACCAACATCAAAGGCGAGTTTGGCAATCTTTTCCATGCTTACTACGTCCCAGGGTTGTCTTGCATACAGCTTGTCGACATTCGCGAGAGCAGGGTGCTGGAACGGCTCGCGGCCATGTTCGTCAGAGAAGGTGATTGCTTCTTGGGCCGCATCCCCAGGGAGCGGATTTGCGAGGATACTTCGCGTAGTCTCTAGGGCGAGGACTTGACGACCTGGGGGGAACAACTGGAATCAGCACTAAAACAAGTCATGACGGAGAATGGGCCGGCGCACCATAGTAGGCCAGTCTCGTGTTGAAGCCTCTCCTTCCTTGGTCGAAACTCTTGTGTGTTACAGCCAGCCACTTGATCTCGTCGGGCAACATCTTGTCGCCGTTCTTGCCCAGGAACCGGTTGTAAACGGCATCGACCTTTTCTGGATCCTCGTTTACGTGCCATATCTTGCGCGCGGGGTTCTTGACAATGTTGATGGAAAAGCCGGGGCCCTTCATTCGTTCTGGGGTATAAGACCACCGCGGGCGACGTTCCGAGGAGGAGGCCCCGGAGGCTGATTGGCTATCGGCCGTGGTTGGTGTTGATGTCGGTGTCGTCTCTGTCGACATTTGGCGGGCAGATAGGCCCATACAGCTGGCAACCGACGATGGTGGGGGCCGGGTGCATCTTGCCAGAGCCTTGGAGGCCGACGAGACGGACGCCCGCGCGGGATTGAGAGCCATGGTGTTGTTGGCTGCTGGGGTGTCGTCGGGCGGGACTGGTTCGTCAAGGTGCAATGGCCAGCTACAGGTCGTGGTGTTGTTTGTCTTGCTGCTTCCAAGCACATGCGCCGGGCACTCCAACAATCGCGCTGTAATTTTTTTCCGTCCTCTCGGTTTCCCCAGCCAAAGCTGCAATGCGCTTCCGTTGCCAAGCGGCTGAACTTCGGCGCCGGCTCAGCCCGACAACCCCACACTGAAGCCCCACTGCTGCAAGGGATGTGCGGGGCAAAACAAACCTTTTTCATTGGCCAATGCAGTTTGATGCCAAGCGGCCCACGCGACCAGGCTTGATCCCCAGCACGCCAGGCACGCCTGCTCCAGCTCCAGCTTCCAGCTCCCTGGGCTCCATCTTGTCTGCCACGGCACTGCATTGGAACCTGGGATACCACTTTGTCTCCAGGGCCTCGACCACCACAATGTCTTCCTCCACCACATCCTCGACCTTCAGACGTGCCTTCAAGAGTGTGACTCCGACTCCAACCAGCACTGACACCCTTCGCGATCGACTCGCTGCCGTGCTGCCTCACGGCTTCAAGTTTGCCGTTTACCACCTCTCGACGCCCCCGACCAAGACCGAACCTCTCTGCTCGGCCCCACCAGACGAACGGCCAGACAAGACATTTGGCGAAAGCCACTTCCTGGCCATCTCGATAGATCGCGACCACGATGCGCCTGCCTCCTTAAAGCGCGCTTCGCCCGGTGCCGACGAGGCCAAAGCCACCGAGCCCAGAGCCCAGGTGTTGGTCTTTGCTGTCGAGATCTTCATCTTCACGACAGCCTACTCGACCACGCTGTTTGTGGGCAAGGCGGACTCGACTGGCTACTTGCATCTTCTCAAGCTCCCCAAGGGCACCTCATCGCCCATCCGCCAAGTGACAGCCACATTCCTCGCCTACCTGATCGAACATCGTCGACGCAAGAACACACAGACCATCGTGAACCTCTTTGCCCGCGCCCAGTCGCAGTATCTGTTTCCAGGTAGCGTGCAAAATGCCGGCAAGCATATTCTCGACGACCGGGGCCTGGTCAAATGGTGGTGCAGAGTGCTCAACCCGCTGATGGAGGGATTGAGAGGGGAGGCGTGGGGAACCCCAAAAGGGTACCTCCTCGTCCCGGGTCTGGAGGAGACTGACACGAGGGCCTTTGTTCCACGGACAGCTACGAGCGCAGACAACTGGGTTATCGGCCATCCCTTGGAAAAGATATCCCATTACGTCGACGAGTTCGACTGGGTGCCGCCGCGCTGCCTGATCCCGCGCTACCCCGACGACCCCAAATCCCGATTTCGCGACGAGCTGGACGAGGAGGTCTCCAAACGCAAGCAGGGAATATGGAAGTGGGCGAGCGTCAAAACTCTTGACCAGTTCTGGGAAATGATGTCGTTTCGCCAGGAGTGCTCAAGCGGACGGCTCACTGGTTTTATTTGGCTAGTTTTTGATCCCACGAAGAAGGGTACTGCCGCCCAAGCAAAGACTACCACGTCCGCTTCGTCATTTGACGCGCCATTCTCGTCTCACAACCCACCCTCCACACCTCCCCGTCGGCGCATGGATATCCTCGCTCAGACTCCCCGCTCCAACAGAGGCAGCCCGCTGAAACAAGATTTGGATGAATCGCCCCCGCAACCGGATCGTCGCAAGAAAAAGGACAAGTTGAAGAGAAAGAAGAAGAGGCTGACGGGCCCCATCATATCGCGACCGCCCAAGGTGAAGCGCCAGCTCCGCAACTATCTACTCGACCGACCGACGTCGACAAAGTACTATTACTGGCCCCCAGAAGGACGGGGTGCCAAAGTGGTCAGCGAGTCGGAATACAAGAGGGATATCGAGCTTCTGTTGCACCTGGACTTTTCGACACTGGACAAGGCGGTGGGAAGTTCTCGGCGCTGGATCAGCCAGGCAGGCGTTGGCGCTGACGAGTGGGGTGCTTCGGTTCTCGGTAAGGCTAAGACACAAGGAAACCTCTTTGGGAGTGTGAGCAGTGGTAATCAGGGGGCCGTCGTGACCAACTTGACAGGACTAGTGCGCAGGAAAGGACCATCACAAGAGACAGGGCAAAGCACGGCAGGCTCTAATGAGAGCGGGCCAATCTCCATCAATGTCCTTGATGCGGGGTTGATACGAAAGAAGCCAAAGGACAAGGCATGACCTGCTTTGAGATGGCTTGCAGTCTTGGGACATGTTTGGCATCCATGGCTAGGGTCCAGGAACGACCATGTTGGCGTTTTCCTTTCTTTTCATAATCTGGCTTACCTTATACCGATCAGAGGCACTGCCGATGGGTACACCTTGTCAACGATATCATCTTAATAATTTATTAACTTTTCCACATAGTTATATTCTCCTCCTCTTCGCCGCCCTCCCTTCGTCTTGTGGCTGATCCACGGGTCTGTTTCTCAGCTCCTCGAGCTGCGTGTTGATCCACTCTCGTGCTTCTCTTAGAACAAGCTTTTCCCCCCGGCGCACCCGCACAGCCATCTTTTCTCGTTGGTCGGACGGATTAGCACTGAGGAACTGATCATCCTGCTCTAGTGTGGTACCGTATTCCCTTTCTCTCTGCGTCACAGCCTCCAATATGGTTTCTAGGTATAACCTCTTTCTCCAGTCCTTGTCGTTCAGTGCGCGAAGGGCCATATCGTTTTTGCTGTCTGTTATTTTTTTGCAGGCCTTTAGACAAAGCTTGAACTGCTCACCGAGCTCGTCCGGGAGAGAAGTAAACTCGGCCGGCTCTTCCAACAACCCTGTGGACGAAGGATCCGGACTCTGACGTTCCAGAACGAATGCCTCCTCAAACTCCTCGTCCTGCTGCACCAACGCGCATACCTTTTCCCAGACCTCTGGCTGGGCTTGGAGCTTGGACTGCAGCGCAGACGAAATGAGACTCCAAGACAACTCGACCACATCCCACCTGGCATGCTTCTCCGTGACGTATCCATACCGTCGGAGCAGCTCGGCACTCGATAGCGGGCCGTAAAAGTTGAGAATCTCCTCCCCCTTTCTGATGGGGCGGAGTGAGACGGCAGTCAGGGCATCTTCGGCGTGGTTGATGTGCGCATTGAACTCGGCATCGGCGTTCAAAATGTCTGCCATGGGCACCATCCCCAGCATGGTTTTCCCTTCGCGGTCCTCCTCCCATTCGTCGTCGTTCTCCAGCTGCTCGGGGATCTCCATGTCCTGCTCAAGATCAAAGGCATATGACATGATGGTGGAGCCCATGCGGTGCGCCAGCTGGATGAGTTGGTCATCGGAGAGGGGCGTGGCTGACGAGGGGAAGAATATCTGGGGGTGGGAGCGGATGACAGGGAGGATCTTGGATGCGATCATCTTATCGGCCTCCTCCTGACCGATCTTGGATGTAACGGCAGAAGCTTGAAGGAAGGAAAGCTGCGAGGGTGTCCAGAACATGGGGGTGTTGAAGGTGGAGGGGAGGACGTCGAGGTAAGGCTTCCACTGAGAGGAGGACCCTTGCAGATATTCGTGGATGAGGATGAGGATCAGGAGCGTCCAAGAGTTTTGGTTGTCACCATCACTTTCATCTCCAGACTCGTCCTCATCATCATTGTCGAGGTCAAATATTTCAGGGAGTATGTCTTTCAGGGGGGAGGTTGCCGCGCAAAGAATGCTGTTGCGTGGGATGGTGAAAAGAACTGTGTCGGCAGCAATGTCGGCCTGGGCGACTGTTTGGGTGTCTTGTCAGCAAAAAGCGCAAGATTGCAATCAGAACCCCAGGAAGCCTCACCAATACCCCGTCCTGCATTTCGACTCCTCAGATCCTCAATCGCAATGTCCTTATGGAAGGTTGCTCCCGGCAGAGACTGGAACCAAGAGAGAAAATGACGTGTCCCCTCCAAAAACCGGGAGTCTGCGTCGCTATCGACCTCCATTTTGAAACGGCCGCGGTGAGATTATGAGCGAGTGACTTGGTGGTCATTGAGGTTCTCACACAGTCTCACTCAATCAGCAACAAATTTTCGGCTGATAAGGGTGGACGGTGGTCTGTGCGTTCGGTGTATTTGATAGCGTCATGTTAGTCTGGCCGCCCAAGTCACCGACTGTCCGCCGACTGTTGTCCGATCTCTTTGACTGCGATTCACGATACGTTTTCAGCTTCTCGGATACAGGTATCCCTTTCATGATTAGCGTTCATCCCGTCACTCTCGCCCACCGGACCATTCGCCATAAAGCCCACCCACTTCATTAACCGCACTACTTCATGTCAAAAAGGTTGTTTACCATGGGGTTACTAACTGATCGGTGCGATTTTCCTACATCAATACAGTTCTCCAGTCGTCATACAATGTATTTTCACAAAAAACGAATCTTTGAATCTTGCCATTAGCAGGAGTGTGCTGTCCAAACTACATCTTCCAAGTCCGAGGCGATCAAGGTGCTTATACGCTTCCATACTCCGGAAAAGAAAGTTCTGTCGAATCAAAGGAGAATGGATACTCTCCGTCACAAGTACGAAAAGGCGCGGTACCAGTGGTTTCGAGGACTAGACAAAGCTTCGCCATGATATAAGAAATGCTGATTCCAGACCCTGAGCCCCTGTTCACAGAGGTACGAAGGCACAAACGGTTGGATTTCGAATAACTCCCCGCCATGGATCTTGCTTATTCAATTGCCAGGACTTTGGCCTTGCCGTATCCCCAGTACGTCACGATGACGAACCCCCTATGTTGTTTTCTAACGATGACACTAAATAGGGGACTAGGGGGAGAACGACGGTCTTGTAAGTGAGTCAGTCGCCAACACCGACTATGGCAGAAGCTGGTGGCTCACTCCGCAGTGAATCTAGTCTGATCCTCCTGGATCTTGTGTGGGTGACATGCCCAAACTGATGTGGCCAATGGGCATATTACAAGATAGATCAGGGACTGGTAAGAACTCTGGATGGGCAAAACAGAGAAATGCATCTGTTTCCCGGCGACAAAAGTCATGGCCTGAGTACCTAGACATGCGGCTCGCTCCTAATACATTCCGCCAACGAGCTGGCCTTGATGCTCAAGCATTGTTAGATGACAAAGGTTGCTCCTTTGTCAACGACACATACGCTGTCGATGTCTGGTTCTTCCTTCAAGGCTCTGTCTGATAGAACAACAGAATATGAGACCCCTGCCGCCTCCAGAACCTTTGATTTCATGGTCGGCGGAGATGGATTTGTTCCTGCCGCCGCGGGACACTACATTGAAAACACAGGCAGCGAGGATCTGATTTTCCTCGACGTATTGCAAGTCCCCGAGTTCAACGACATCAGCATTGCTCAATGGCTTGTGTTGACGCCAAAGCAACTGGTCAAGGATCATTTGTATCTTCCCGATTCAGTCATTGATGCTTTAGCGAAAGAGAAACCTGTCATCTTGACGGGAACAAGAACTTGACCGCCCTTGGACGGGGCGCGTCTGCACTGATTTCCTCGGTGGTAGCCTTTCCAGTGATAGGAATCCATAGGTTGCTGCAAAATCTCATGAATGGTGCTTGCAATAGTAACACGAGTTTTGCTCAAGACGCTCCCCCATAGCTCGACCTCACGCGCTCCAAGTGCCCATCAAAACCGACCTGCCACACCAGACACAGCCGTTGGTACGACCCAGTCTGCCTCAGCAAAGCACATCTTCATTGAATACGAGCATGCGGTGACATGTAGCTCAGCAGATTAGACCATCCAAGTGCGACCGTTTCTGTAGGCACCCAGAGAAGCAGGTGTTGCTGCCTTCACTCTGCCGGCGCCACGGCCTTGCATTCATCAGACGGAAATGACAAACCCCCCGGGTTCTTGAGCAAAGGCCCAGACCGCACAGCCCTTGTTGTCAACTGCGGGGAAGATGGAAGCTTATAAATGACAAGCTTTTTTAGGAAGGCAACGTTGAATGGGCAAGTCGGAAACAATGTCGTTTTAAGATGCGAATGCTGCCTCGCGCGGCCAACGAAGTGTCGTGATCGACATGATGCGAGAAAGGCCGGTCGGCAAAGGACCTTACGTACCATAGGGCAGGTGGCTATTGAACAGATTTGGTCGCTCAGTCAGGAAATTTCCGATGGACTTGCCCTCGTATGGTGGACAAGAAGCCAAACACTTATTCCGACCAGCCTTAGGGCACTCGAGAGCATCTTGTTGGATGGAGGCAGGAACCGCGATGAGGATGCTCCCGACATGGAGCCCGACCCAATCTGGAAGGAGGTAAAACGTCCCCGCACCTAATAGGTAGCCTCCTGCAGCATCGATAACGGTCTCGCCGCCCGGTTGTGTCCGCCTCCCCAATACCGAACGCAATACCAAAACCTTGGCCTTTGGCCCTGCGTTGATTGCAGCAGTCCCCCATACATAGAGCAACAGAGGCTTATGCGATCATTGTTGTACACTGGCATATTCCATCCCGGGAGTTTGGGTGTCGACCGTCTTGGCCGACGGGCACTGCACTGGGTGTTATCATGCAACGAACGAATGTCGATTGCGAATCCTCAGAGACCCCGGCATGGACCAACTTATCTTAGTATTCTTGATACAACCTCCCCAAACAGGAAGGAGAAGTAAGCACATGTTGCACCGCAAAATCGATAGAACAGGCCAGGAGTCTATGGCGACATCTCCAACATTCGTCTGGACTCTGATCAGAGATGGGCAGCTACGATGCCGAGATGGATCCTAGCACAACATGTCTCGAACAGGAGGAAGGTTGCGAGACATGGATCAGGGTTGACACTACGGGAGAGAGCATCTTGTGGACATGAACAATCGCTATAAAAGCACCAAGGCTGCTGTTTTGAATTGCCAGACACCTCTCAGCTTCTCTCTCGCCACCTTCAAATCACCCTCGGACAACTACGGCAAAGCTCCATCATGAGAACAATTCAGCTCGTCACCGCAGCCATCACGGCCCTCTTGGCCCATGGTGCTGCTGCCAAAGAAGTCGCCCCGGACCCGGCCGTGGCCAAGATTTATGACAGTGGTGCCGTCCACGAGCAGTTGATGGCCAAGAAGCATGCCACATGGAACCGTGAGCTCAAAGCCGGTCACTTCAACTCCAAGAAATGGAAGTCGCGGGGCGGTGACGGTGCCATCCGCTGCAAGAATGGTGTTGCGGCTGTCATCCCCGGCGATGCCATGAATACGTTCAAGTGCAACAAGGTGTGAGCCATTTTGCCTACCTGAATCCGAGACGGACGAACACACTCTGACCATGCCCAACAGGTGGACTTTTACGATTTCGTGTCGCACGCTGACCTGGGATCCGCCACTGGCGAGGGTTCGTCCTCGTGGGGCTGGACCAGCCGTGATGGCCGTGAGTTTGTCGTCATCGCTCAGGCTGATGGCGCCGCCTTTGCCGAGATCAACAAAAAGGGCAAGCTTGTCTACCTCGGCCGTCTTCCTCAGACCAAGGGCATTGAGCCCCTCATCTGGCGTGAGATCAGGGGGTACAAGAACTTTATCATCATCGGATCCGAGGCCGCCGGCCACGGTGTCCAGGTGTTTGATATGAGCAAGCTTACCAAGATCAACCCCAAGAAGCCCGTCACCTTTGACCCCGAGAAGGATGTCACTTCCTGGTGGAACGACCTGCCCATTGGCCGCACTCACAACGTTGTTGTCAATGAGGAAAAGCAGTATGCCGTCGCCGTCGGCGCTGCACCCCGCACCAGCGCTTGTCGGTCCGGCCTCATCTTCATCGATCTCAAGGACCCAGCCAAGCCCAAGACGCTCGGATGCGCCGCAGGTGATGGATACGTCCATGACGCTCAGTGCCTGACATACCGGGGTCCTGATTTCAAGTATTGGGGCCGGGACATTTGCTACGGTTACAACGAGGACACCTTGACCATGTAAGTGCTTTAGGCGGTATTGTAGGGCTTCCATGGCTAACCTTTCTCCTAGCTACGATGTTACTGACAAGAACGCCACCAACATCATCTCACGCACCAGTTACGAGGGAGCAGCCTGTAAGATTTCACCGCCACCAGTCTTCCACGCATGTGCTAACCAGATTTTCCAAAAGATACTCATCAAGGCTGGGTCACTAACACTGCCTGGCAGGAGTTCCTCGTCCTTGATGATGAGCTTGACGAGGTTAACGGTGTCGGTCCGGCTGCCAGCGGGTATCCAATCACTTACTTTTGGGACATTCGCTCTCTTGAGAGCCCCAAGCAAACTGGCTTCTTCCGGAGCGCTGCTTACGGAATTGACCACAACCAGTTTGTCATTGACGGTCTCTCTTACCAAAGCAACTACGGCTCTGGCTTGAGAATTCTAGATGTATCAAGCTTGTCCAGGGACCCTACCGGTGCCCGAGTGAAGGAGGTTGGCTTCTTTGACATTTACCCCGAGGATGATGCTCTTCCAGAGGGTGGTATCTTGGATTTCGTCGGCACTTGGAGTCACTACCCCTTCTTCAAGAGTGGATTTATTCTCATCAACACCATTGAACGTGGCGCCTTTGTCGTCAAGAGGGCCAAATAAGGGGGAGGAAGTGTCATGGAATACAGTGTGATACCCGGGTAGCACTAATTAATTAATAGCTATCAGTTCCCCGTGCGGACCAGAAGGCTTGAAACTGGGCTTACAGCAAGGCTCCTGGAGTCCCAGTCGATTGACTTATCTAGATGGCTTATCGTAATAGGTATCGATCGTGATTCTTGGACATAAAATATGCAATCGTAGCAACCGGACAAGGACTTTGGGGATGGAGGAACATGTATTCAGTCATTGATTACCCAGCTTGATCCATCTTCATCCGTTATCATCATCGAAATAACATTCCTAATCACCTAATCATAAAAGACCAAAGTCCGAACCTCGATGCTCTCCCTTGGTGCCTTATCTTCCTCATCTGGGTCAATGAACGAAGAGTGCGGCACCCTTCTTGCGACCCCCTCCTCGGTATCGAAGCACTTGATCAAAGTAACCTCCTCAGGGGTCTGCGCGTATTTGAAGTACCACTTGTGGGATGAGTTGGGCTTCACCACATATGTCTCACCGGCTCGATCAGGGTAGATAAGAGCAGCACCAATCAGGTCTGAGTCCGGAACCGAATGAGCATCAGCCACGCCCAGAGGGTCGCGGAAGATGGTCTTGATTGGACGCCAGACATTGATGATTTGAAACCGTTTACCAAGGAGCTCATCCGCCTCGTCCGGCAAGTGATAGCGCACCCTTTGTCGAGATGCCTCGTACGATTGGTCAACGTGGACGCTGCGTACGGGACCACGGAATCCGGCGTCAGGAGCACGGTTATCCTGGCTACCGCGGCGAATTGTGTGGTCAAAGATGTAGACGCGATGGGCTCCGGTCCTGGCTCAGATCAGTTTTGGATTCTGTCTGGTTCTCGGACCATAGACTTACGCATCCTTCAGCAGCTGCTCGACTTCCGGGTAGTATTCGGCCTTGATCTTGTCATCGTCGGAAAAATCCTTCTCTTTGCTTTCGTGCCGGTAAAGCTGAAATCCGTGACTATCAAGCGTGTACTTGCTCTCGTCGCCCGTAATATCGGTGACGACTGCGTCGATCTCAACACGAGGGCGCTCAATCAAGGTCTCTGGACGACTAGAAGCAATTGTAAGCAACTGTTAATGGGCAACATGATGCCTCAAGGAAGGGGAGACCGTGGCCTTACCCAATAACATATGGGGCAGGAGCAGAACCATCGCCAGGGTCCTTGTAATAGTTGAATTTGGTGTGGACGTTGTGCTTGAGGGGCTTGCCGGATTCTAAACCGTGGGAGTTGATGAGCCCACTGGCATTGACAGCAGGAGAGGCAACAGCAGCTGCAGCCATGATGATAGGGAACGATGGATGGTGTAGTTGTGATGAGAATTGGATAGAGTATCGGATCCTCTTCTTTATATTTTGCTGCTCCGTGTCTGCTTGCCTTGATGAAACAATCTTTGCATTAGTGAGATTGCCGAGTGCCGTAAGACATGGTGGTTCTGGTGATCGTCACGCCATCGGTGACGCAACGAAGCAACGGTCTCGTTGGTCGGTGTCGGGATAATTCCGGTGGTAGCCGGGTGATTGTTCAGCAAGACTTTCAAATCTTTCTGGGACTGGTAACACTTTGCAGGACTGCTTTGAAATACAAAATTGATCTTTCTGGGAGCGATGTTGGTGCTTTCTGGATTTGGTACCGCAATCTTCCATCTTTACAATCGATTGATAGACACAGCAGCATGTGGAGAACCACACAGCGGGATCCTTTTAATACTAGGTAGTCAAGTGTGGTGTTCGTCTTCTTTTGCAACACGAATGAGTTTTGTAATAGCTGTGCCATCCCCCAAGACCTCGGTTGTTTTGTCCAATTCGTATCCGCCAAGTTTAGGAAGAACAACGACAAGCACAAACCAGTAGAGAACCGCCAATAAAAGTCTACCACATCGAATCAGTCATGCTCTCATAGTTTGCGGCGTGCATGTCATCTTGTACTTACACGGAGATGCCCACCAATGCATAACTGACCCTGAACAAATGATCACCATGGCTCTCACCAGCCATGGGCATGAATGGGGCTGCAATCATGGCAATAGATAACACGATTCGTGCCCACACTGCAGGTAGGAATGCTTTGTATGGACGTCTCAGATCTGGTCTCGTCTTCCGAAGCCAAATGAGACCAAGACTCGTCGCCAAAACAAAGAACTGACCAGGATATCCTTCCACATCAAGAATGAAGGAGTATATGTTGCGAGCCGGGACGCATATCACCGCCACAGAGGGGATGTAATGGACCATGAGTGCTCCCAAAGGGGCTCCAAACGGCTGAGAGGACGACCAGAGATGTCCATAAGGTAGGAGACCCTGGCGAGCAATCTCTTGGTTCAGTCTCGCCTTGAGCGTTGGGAGTTAGCGACGATCACCGTTCGGCTCAAGGTGTTGGCACATACCAAGGAGAATGTGACAACCATAACATTTCCAGCAGCCGAAATAGCCACAGCTAGAGGCAGGAAGATCCGCCCGGTCGTTTCCCCCAACAGCCTCTGGAAGAACAGCGCTGCAATCAGCTCGCCACTCTGCTTAATCTCATCCAATGGCACAATGAGAAAATAGGCGACATTGACCAGAAAGTACAGGAGACAAGCTGTAAACAAGGCAGTGGGTGCGGCTGATTTCAGTGTCTTGACTGGGTCCCGCACTTCGTTGAGTACATTGTTGACGTTTTGCAGTCCCGCATACGAGTAGAAAACCTTGAATAAGGCAGTGCTGATGATGCCCCAGTTCCAGACAGACCCCTCCCAGATACTATCCCAGGAAGGTAGCAGTAGCCGCGTCGTTTCGGATGGGGTTGTGGGACGGTAGCTGGCCAGGACCACCACGGCAGAAGCAAGTGTCATAAACATGATCAAGCCAATCTTGATCCAACCCAGCAGGTTTTGGATGAATATCCCCGTCCTAAGAAAGCAACCATGAATGATGGTAATCAGCGTCATTAAAGCCACAGCGAGAGCCCGAACCTCGACTTTGTGTTCCGAGGGCTGCTTCCCGAGTGCGAAGAGGGTGTACTCGCCAAAAACGATACAGTTGCTTGCCGTGAACCCCAAAAGTACAGCGTGAACAGCTACAATGGTCGACGCCAGAAATCGAGGGCGACGATAAGTGAATTCCAAGTATACCTTGTCGCCTGTGGCAGGTTTCAAAACGGACGTGTGTAAGTGAGGATGCTGTTGTTGAGGATAGCTGAGATTGACTTACCACCTGAGCGCGGAAGCATACATCCATATTCCAATCCAACAGCCAATCCAAACCAACTCAAAACGGCACCGGCGACCCAAAGGGTGAGGCTGAGACCGATACTCCCCACTGAACTGACTATGCTCCCCGGAGTTGCAAAGATGCCAGACCCGATGACCCGCGAGATGATCAAAATGTAGGCACTTCTGCAACCTAGAGTACGTCCCAGGACGGCTGTCTCGGGAAGCACATCATCTTCAATGTCTCTGCGAGTTGTCGAGATGATATCACCGCTTTTGAGTGTTGTGGACGAGGCGGATGTCGAGCTGGATTTCTGACGTCGGTGGCCTTGGCTGATGTGGACGACGGCAGCTGAGGGCGGCGCTCGAAGAAGAGGTGTTGTCTCTCCATGTGAAGTTGACTGGTTAGGCATTCTGAGAAACTAAACAGCTAGTACACACGTATCTACCTCGGGCTGTACATTCGTTCAGCTGTTGCCAAATGTTTGTCGGAGCAAAAATGTTGATGAATCGCGGAAACAGCATTTTCCACCACAGAACCGGAATCCACGGCGATGTTGGATTTGTAAACCAAAGCGGGCCTGTTCCAAAAGGTTGCGTAGATGGCAATATGGACGGAATCGCATCAGTTTGCGTGTGGGTGACAGGAGATGGCGTGCTTGGCCTGGCATTGGACCGCGCCGCGTCACACCATTCATGTCCAACCCAATCCTCACCCCAGTCTCGAAAACCGGTAATTTCATGCTTGTGATATATACCCTGGACGCATTTATGAAAAATGTGCTTCCCGTTCCCATTTGTACCCCTGCCTATTCACGCTGGTATTTATAAATACTTCGCCTGTTTCACTGTCGGGTCGTTCCTCCCGTCGTGCTCTCCCATGGCAAACTCGTTTGAGCTGCTGCTACTCTCTTCCCCCCCACCGCCGTGGTGGTCGCTATCATACCGACCATCGTCATCGTCACTGTCAGCCTGACTTTCGCTCTGTTGACTCGCCTCTTCCTCACTCGCTTCACCCGCCATGTCGGTAGCAGACTCATCTCCGTTCTCACTGCCGCTGTGGCCGTAATCAGAGTCAGAGTCGTCACCCGCGAGTGCTAATTCTTCTGCTAGCGATAACCGACGTTTGATGGCTGGTCTAACAAAGTCTTGATCATCTATGGGATATTGGTCAGTTCAAGTCCATTGCGAGGTACTTGGCAAACATACTCTCTTGCTTGATGCCCTGTATCGTGTTTCTCCTCGTCATTCCTTGTCTTGAACCAATCTCTCCCTCCGAGTCCGAGGTTGGCATCCTCGCTGGGACTGTTGTGTTGCCCCTCGACATGCCAGCCCGAAGAGGGCTCGAGGCATTGTAGGGTGGCGTGGGCATGTTTGCTGGGAAAGAAACATGTATAGATGGCTGCTGTCTTTGATGACCCGACCTCGACGGATCGTTGTTAGTAACTGGCCTTGATGACGACCGCTCAGACTCCAGCTGCTCAAGTTCGAGCGCACGTAGCAAGAGGTTATTGTAGCCAGAGTAGAAGGTCTTTTGTATAAGATCGAAGCCTGTCGGGGTTAGCGGTTCTACCTTGAATCAGAAAAGGGGGGGCGACTGACTGCCTCCATGCAATTGATTAATTTCTTTGACTAGCTGGAGTTGACCTTCGGCAAATTCCAAAGAGTCAACTGCTACCCTGATGGCAGCCTGGACTCTCAACTCGGACTTTAGAGCATTCTGAAGGCCGGATGTTTCTTGCCTGTAAGATGCTGGAGGTGTTGGTGGTTGGCGTTTTTGTTCATGTTGTCGATGTGGGGTAGAGATATCTTCATGTAGCCTCGGAAACTCTTCTGTGTCTTTTCGATGATGGCGTGACCTTGTCTGGTTGGCAGCCGGTCTCGCAAATCGTAACGGACTGGAGACAACACGTGTATGGATCACACCTTCGCTTGGCCGAGGTGTCTTTGGAGTCTCAGGCGGCGTCCTTTTCATCAATATCGGTGTAAGTGGACGGGGAGTGAGTTTGGGCAAGCTGGCTGCGGATCGCAGCGCTGATTCAGACCGGCTATGCTTCAGTCGTCCACCTCGTAAAGATACTTGTCTTGTCGGTGTCTGGCCTTCAAAAGCAGACAGGGTAGTTTGAAGAGAGGCCAGGAGCTGCCCCAGGGTTGGGCAGAGTATCTCCCCGAGGCGCTCGCCGGCTTTATCTTCGGGCAGCAATTCGAGGAGGATGTGGAGGGCCTGAGACAGACTGGATCCCAAGTTGAGGACAGCACCGACCAGCACGTCCTTGTCCGAGTCTCCGATTGGTTGGGGGAGCAACTTAAGCCTCTGGATTGCTAGAATGGGGCTTTCGGCAAAGGTATCGCGCCTGACAGAACGGAACAGCCATGCCCCCAGGTCAGGGAAAAGCTCCATCTCGAAGATACTCCCGCCGTCTAGTAATCGAGGGCGTACAGGCTGTGCCAAGTCAGGGACTGTGGGAATCACAGGAAGCAAGAACAAAGGGGGGTCCCTAGCCGCGAGGTACCGCACACCTAGGGTTTGACAACGTCAAAAGAGGAGTCAAAATTGAGGTTGACAGGGAAGAGCGGTGTGCCGCATCGATCCACATGCCACCGAATCTCGGCCCGCTGACTGGGTCACTGTGTGGGGTGATTGAGACACGCTAACTCGAAACTGGAAAGGTCCCCCTGAAAGCAGCATCGTCGGGCTCATCGTGGTGTTGGCTCAAGAAGGTCTGTTTTGGTCAAAACTGACCCAACAGAAAGTCGCACAAAAGATGCAATTTTCTGACGTGTTGGTCTGTGACACTTGGTAAGTAGAAGAGATGATCTCTGTCTGTTGATTGGTCTGAGCCAGAGACAGGGGTTGTGTTCAGAGCTGATATTAGGGTTAGGGGTGGTCATGACACTGACACTGGCATGCGGAGGACAAGAAGAGTGAGGTCATGAATACAAAACAAAAGCTACTTTTCTTTCCCCTGGTATCATAAACTCCAAAACAGCCTGATTTCCCTGCTAATACAGGGTTTGTCGTATCTCCCACTCAACTTCAACTCCAAAGTCTGCTCCTATCCGACCATCCCTTCCCTCTTCTCTAGGCATGGATCCAACAATCAGTGAGCAAACCGGAAATCCAGTCTTTTCAGGCCCTCGTCCTTGCTGTTGAGAGTATAATCCTCCTGTTGCTCCGGTGTGAGCTCATTCCATTTGGCGTCCCTCAGCTTGTTCCTCCAGATGTAAAAGGCTTTGACAAAGTAAAACTGCACAATGTTGTAACAGACAATACCAAGCAGAATCCGGTTTCCACGAACGTAAAACGGCCTATCCTCGTCACGGTAAATGTTGCTGGCGAGGATGTTGCCGCTCTGGACAAACATATTGTAAAGGGCAGCCGACACGGCTCTTGTCCGGACCGCGTTGCTGTTGCGTGCGTTCCAGCCGACCAGAATGGCGTGGCAGTAAGGGTAGGACAAAAGACCAGTCATGATTCCATAGCGAGCCCATGGAGAAGCATTCGGATATGCGACCAAGGCCACGAAGAAGGGAAACATCCAAATGTTGCTGATGGAGGAGACGATTGACCTCTCTTTGAATCGCTTGGACACCCAAGTGATGATGAGCAAGTTGACGGCAAACATGAACTGAGCTGGAATGGCCATCAAGTTGGCTTCAAAGACGCCAAAGCCCATTTGTCGCAAAATGAAGGACATGTAGGTGTTGAGGGGCGAGGGGGGGATGTAGGTGGTCAAACCAATGAGATACAGCGGCCACATCTCCCAGTCCTTGATGGTCTTCCAGAGGAGGACAAGACCAACACCCTGGCGATTGTTCATGTCGCCCTTGGAGGGGTCATCGCGGAGCAGCCGATTCACAATGATGAATTCCTCGCGGTCTGAAAACCAGCCGTCTTTGCCCCGGAACCAGTTACGGGTTTGACAGGGTCCGGGGGGCATGAGAACCCACGAAAAGGTGCCGATAAGGAGTGTCACGATGCCTTCGAGCAGAAAGAGCCACTGCCAACCACTCCAGCCACCAATTCCTCGCATCTTGAGGATGCCAGCAGCGAGAAGAGAACCGACAATGTTCACCGTGCTGAGGGCCGTCCAGAACCAGGCGAGACGGGTGGGCAGTTCGTTGGACTTGAAGAAGTAGGTGAGCCACAGCACGATGTCGGGGATGAACCCGCCCATCAGGAAGCCCAATAACACCTTAATGACATAAAATCCAGCTTTGGTCTTGAGGAACGCCTGCGAGCCAGCCACAATGGACCAGCTGCAGATGAGGAAGGGAATCCAACGGTCAGCACCAACCCTCTTGCTGATGAGCCCAGATGGAAGTTCTGCCACCAAGAAAGACGCCAAGAACAAGGTCTGGCCGTAATTGAAGTCGTTCGTGTCCATGCCAATCTCTTCCAGCATCCTATCCGTAATGGCGCGGTTGATGTTTCGACGATGCAAATCGAGACCACAAAACATGATCCATGCCCTGTAGACCGAATTCATTAGTAAGAGAATTCCATTTGGGAAAGAGTGTGTGGTAGGTACGTACCAAAGCATGATCCTACGGTCAATCTTCTTGACCAGCTTCCGCTCCTCCTCGGCCGACCAGGTAAAGCTGGGGTCGAAGCGATGTCTGTTCTCGTAATTTACATTTTCGTATGTGGTGCGCCAGTGATCTGCCACAGCCGGATCAGAAAAGATGTGATCGTTGGTTGAGCCATAACCATCAGCATCAACGAGTGACTCTTGGGAGACTGAACCAGAGTCTGAGCTGCTGAGGCCAGTATCCGTCTTCTTCTTCTCGTCAGCAAAGATCTTTGGCGACGGAGAGGCCACCTCCTTTGTGTCCTTGGAGTCGTGGTTGGTGGGAGTCATGTTGACGGCAGCGTTCCGGCAGGCCGGAAACCAAGATGGAAGATGTGCTGGGTAGGACCTCGTGCTGTAGGTACCGCCTGAGACACAGTTTGCATCTCCGCGGATGTAACATGTGGGAGAGGTTTATATAGAGCCAGGGCGATCCTCAACCACAACGTCAGCGTTCCCGGCCTCTTACTCGCCAGGGTTGCAGTTTGTAGCAATGTTGTCAACACCAGGAAGTCTTGCGCCATGGTCAGGATTGACAGTCTTTCCACCTTGGAGCTGTTATCAATGGCGCAATCTTGCACGTGTATGGCATTGTGTGATATGCGCAGGTTGCATTGCACCTCGGGAGAGTCGAAGGCCACCAGAGCAGCCACTGGGATGTTGTCTGTTCTGTGGGATGGATTGCCACTGGGATCTTGCCCCAGATCCGGGATATAGGTCCCGACAGACGTCCACCCGCGCTTCCAGCCCTTTTGATGCGGCAAAGTGCATATCTCCGATGTCGTTTGTGATGTCCCTGTTGTTCAACGACCAGTCTAGACCTCTACAGCAGACAGAACCACTAGGGCCAAAGTAGTAAGCACGTCGTTGGCAAAACACCAGCTACTCAAACTATCATTTCTACACAGCATGGTTGCCAGAGGCCAAGATAATGGCGTGCTTCTTTCAACGACAACAACAGCGGCATAAAGGGGAAGGGTTGGGGTTGTCTATGGGAATTTTCGAGTCGCGTCAAAGACAGGAAAGTGACACCATTCTGGCCCCGGCTTAAATCCGCTCTCAACCGGTCATGTTTGGTGGGGGCATGGTCAGCGTGGGGGATGATATTCACAACTGCATAACCGACCATCACGTCATCTGCGATGCCGCAAAATGGGAACTCAAGGGCAGCAGCACATTTCAGAGCCAAGGACACACGAATCGTGCTGGCCATCCAATGTTGCAACTCATCGAGTCAGTCGTCTTGGTTCAAGCATGCCATTCGTTTGTAGGGCCCGTGCACACATCGACCCCCTACCGTCTCTCACTACCCGCTGGCGTGCTCAGGTCCCTCAGGGGTTCCTCATCATACTCGTTCGTTACCCCTTTGCTACCAGCCCCCGTCTCCCCATCGCCCGCAAATCTCTTCATGAACCAGGCTGGTTCAAAGCTCCCAATCATCAAATACACTGCCAAAACTACCAGCCCCAATACCTGGAACGCAACGAGAAGGCTCACACCAACAACTGCGCCTTGGGTTAGGACGGGCTTGTTCGTCATCACCTGGCCCAGATCGACAAACACTTTGCGCGCCAAGGTACTATCCTGGGTGGCGGCCTGCAAGACAGCTTCGTTTGCCAGAACCATGGCAGTCCACAAGGTCGTGTTGGGCCCTCGTTCAAACACTGAAAGGAAGTCGTTCATCATGTTTTCCAACTTGGTCGCGGCTTGTTGCTCTGTGATTCTGTCCTCTTGCATGCTCCGGGGAGTGAGAACAGATTGACATTCCTTGGACATGCGACGGTCAGAAATGACCAGCTCGGCTGGAGGAAAGGCAGAAAACCGTGCCAGAGGCATGTTGTTTTCCAAGCACACCATCTGAAGCGTCTCCAGGGCGTCAAGTCGCGGGAGCGATGCATTGTTGGACGCCGTGCTGTTGACAAAAGCCCGAGCCAGGGTGTGGAACCAAGTTTGGTTACCAAAAAGAGCCTGGGCGGAGATCATGAGCGGCCCTGGGGCAATGTTTGATGGCTCGGTCGGCCCGAGGGATAAGAATGGATCGGTGGTAAAGTTTTGAACAAAATCGGGGCTGCCAAGCGGCACGTCACGATTAGGACTGGTTGATGTAAGCATCAGTTTGCCGAAAGCCAGAGGGAGTAAGCAGACTTACCTCACGTCGACAAAGTGCCCTTCTAGGTCATCAAGCCCCAGATCACGGAATGTGTTTAGCAGTGGCCCAACTTTCTCTTCGTTGAGATAGTTGGGCAACTCAAAGTACCCCCTTGTCGTGGTTGCTGTGCAATGGTATGTTTTCTGATGCCTGATTTGCGAAGGATTTCGGACATCACCAGTCAAAACATTCCGGACCATCCGTATGAACAGATCTTCCTTGATCTCGCGTCTGTCTTGGCTCCTGTCCGGCCATGGCGAGCGTCCTGATGCCCCGGGTACGCAAACAGTCACCAAGGTGTTTGGTGATTCAAAGACTCTTGCAAATGGTCTTGGTCCAGAGCAAACCGGGGGAAACTGGGCAATCGCCTTGCAATCCGGAAGACTCTTCATCCGCAAAGCATGGCTTCGGTAGTAGCCCGTGTTCGGTCTGGGGACTAATGAAACAAACATGTGTTGGTGGGAAAGATCCATTATGTCAGGCTCATTGGCTGGACGAAACCCGCCGAGCGAGGGTGTTCTTGACACGTCTGATGCCTGGCCAGCTTCGGGCCATAATTGTGGGTGTCTATCAGACTCTTGGGAGTTGACCAGGCCGTGTTTGACTTTTTCCACCACCCCATTTTCGCTGACCATCTCTAGCATTTGAGGTGTAGCGTCAAGAGCCTTAAAACCTTGGCCGAGAAAGGAGGTTGGAACCTTGATGGTCTCATGGCTCACGACAAGAGTGCGAATGGGAGGTAGAATCAGAGCTGGACATGATGAGTTAGCAAGAGGATTAACGATCAGAATGAGTGACGCACTGATCATGATGAGGATGACTGCCAACCACGACAAGACGGCATTGTCCCACAAGTTATGCTTGGACTGCGACCCAACACTGGCAGCACGTTGGACGACGGCGTACACGACTGGTATGGCGAAGATGGAGGTGATGGTGTTCATGGTCTTGATCGCTTTGTCGTAGTCGGCCATGCGGTCCACATTGATGGGTTCAACCCCACGAGGTAGCTCTGTCCACGTCTTGGGATTTGATACCCAGACGGGGCCGGTGCTGAGGCCACATGTAAAGACCCATGGTATCAGCAGAAGCGCAATGTACAGGACGGTGACAAGAACCAGACCGACTGCCCCGATGATGTGGCTAATCTTTGAGGCTGTTAGCATGGTTGTTTGGGTTCGACAAGAGGCTCGACATTAACAAACCACACGATACTGGCGTATTTTGTAAGAATTTATATATACTTTTGTCCCGGCTTTATTGTTCACACTCAAAATGGAGGGCGCCTGGCCAAGACTGGTGATGTCGCCCAAGGGGAGCTTCCTGAAACCGCATCCAATCATTGTCTCGAGGCGATGAAACGGCCACTGTCGTTTGGCATGACCCGATCATAACATTAGAAATTACCAGCCATGCCATTCAGGAAGGTCTGCCCCTTAAATCTGGTATGCCAAGCCCCCTAGCTTCCGTCTTTTGGGTCTTGTTCTCCACAAGTTGGTGTCGACAACGTTTGGCATTAAAAAGCTCTGTGTATGTACATGAAAACCGCCCTCAAGCCGGCATTTCGTATTTTGGTTTCGCCGCCCACGCAGGATCTGATGACGAGAGCTCCGATGGTGAATTCGTGCTGCTCACTTCTACCGGCCACCGTTTGACTTGGGGTTGCCCGCGCGTGGGACACATACATGTGCACGCTCCGTTGTATTGGTGACCATTTACGTAGGTTGCGGGGCTTTGGCTCCATGGACTTGCTGCTCCCGCTTCGTGTTGCCATGAAAGGGCCTGGCCGCTGTGATGTTGGCAGTGACTGTGGTGAGAGCCATCATGCTGCGGTATTTGCTCTCCCGAGTCTGCCCCTCTGGACCTCCTCTTCCACCAAAAGAACAAGCCGGCGGCGATGGCAAGGACGCCGACAATGGCGCCGACAACGATGCCTGCTGATTGCCCACCACCTAGCCCGCCGCCATCCCCGCGGAATTTCTCGTCGGGCGGTTCTGGATTTGGGGTTGTTGTTGGTGTAGGTTCATGTTGCTCGCCGGGACTGACGTTACTGTCATCCAGGACATGGCTTTCCGTAGGAGCCGCGGTCGTCGGTGTTGGGGATGTGGTTGCGGATGTGGTTGGGGACTCTGGCGGGGTGCGGTCGGATTCAGACGTGTCGGGTCCGTGAACGATGCCTCCAGAAGGCCGTTCGACGCCGAGGAGATTGAAAGATGGGCTGTTGGCGCCAAATCCAGCTACTCTTCCTGGCCTAAGGTTGAACCAACATGGTGTGCCAGAGGTGAAGTTGAGCACAACAGCAACTGAAGCGTTGTATCCTGGCACCCGCTGGTCGTAAAAGTTGCGGCCGCCTCCATCGCACCAGCCGAATAGCGTTGGGGTTGGAAATGGGCTTTCATATGTGACGTTGATCGTGTCCATGTGTTGATACGTGTGGCCTTCGGTTGGGTAGATGAACCAGACATCATTGTGGCCATTCTGGCTGACCGCCTGAGCACTGAGAAGCGCGAGAGCGAGTAGCGTTCGCATTGTGGTCGCTGCAGGACCGCCGGATCAAGATCTGGAGAAGAAAAAGTAGGAGTAGGAAGAGGGAAGGATTGCTCGCGAGATGCAACTCCCGGTCCCATCGATTTGGCTGTGCAGGTCGGCTGGGGGCGCCAAGATGCGGCACAGGGCGCATGGCTCAGGAGATGCTGTTGTTGGGGGCGGTTATTTCGCTTGGCGCTTCCTTCCTTCGGCCGATCAATGCAAAGGCACCACTTCTCGGCAAGCGCAGTTGGAATGCAACAAACATCTCGATAGCTATCAATAGGATTCTGGGGCCGAAGCTGTTAAAAACACAACCGGAGCGTGGAATCAATGCTGTGAACGAAATTAGGTTACACAACGAGTCGGTGACCTTTTGTGCCGTTCTGTCAGTGTCAACATCTGAACTTGAACACCCGCTCCCTTCCTCCTCTTCAGCTTTACCACACCTTGCACATCGCCAGTACATGTGAAAATAATCTTTTGTTTGCTGGAGCTTTCAGATACAGTATGCGATTACCAGTCCCCGTATGATTAGCTTTTGTTTTGAGGATGAGTAAGTGGTGACGTCACAGACTATCGAGCGGATGCTTGTTGAACTCAAAGTTTCCCTCGCCGTACTTGCAATCACTTTACATCGTCACAATACTCGGCGACCACATCACCGACCATGGACCCCAAAGCTCTTAACCAAAGCCTATCTGCACCAACCTTGCGGCGGACCACAGACCCAATCCGTCCTCGGCCCATCATGCCCTGGCGTAGAGTGATAGTATATGGTCTGTCGGCCGGGTTCTTAGGAGTTGCTGCGTAAGTTCTCATTCAGGTCAATGCCGTTTACTTGCAACTCTAATAATTGCAGTATGACGGTTAGCGAAAAAGTCGAACAGTTTTTTACAGGCCGCCCCAACTCCTACGTGCCAGCCAAAACTCTCGCTAGGTTGCTTGGGGTCACTCCTCAAAGCGACCAGCAGCTGTGGGGTCTCAACATGGCAATGCATTATGGCCAAGGTGCAGCTGCTGCCGTGATCAGAGCAGTTGCAAGTTATTCTTTGGGCATGAGAGGGCCATTCACCGACTTTATGTTTATGGGTGTTAGGCTGTTGATTGACCAGACGCTGGAAAATTGGACGGGCGTTGGAGCTTTGCCTTGGACCTGGCCGGTAGACGAGCAAGTCGTGGATCTGCTGCACAAGGGCGTTTTTGCATTTGCCACAGGGTATTTGGTGGACTGGTGGATTCAGTAACCGTGAGTTGGATCTCGAGATGCAGATGAGCCAACCAGACAGATGATTTAGTGAGAAAAAAATAAAGATCCGCAAGCTTTTCCAAACACTGCTGTTGATTCAATGCAGGGGGGTGGCGTTCAGCAATAGTGACAACACCATGATTGACCCAAGGCGTCTTGCAATGATCTAACCGTGGCACAGCTGCCAACGCAATGCTCTTCATGCAACTAGGTAATGGATCAACACCACCTATGCGAGCCAACAAAGACGCAGAGGCGACTCAGTGAGATGAGTCCATCGCACAGCACCGAGATATAATTTCGAGGCATTTCCAAAGGTCTGAGACTTGACATTGTGGCTCCGGACACCATAACTTTTTGTCCTTAGGTTTGAACATGTCTGACCTCGGCCTTTGGTGGGCTCGCAGCTCAAAGACCCAGTCATTTCCCAGGCAACATTGCTGGTATGTCATCGAGTCCAATGATTATCTGTCAGACAATACCTTACTCGCACACATCTTTTACACCAGGGGCTTATGTGGTCGGGGACAGCATTCTCAATCATGATAGTAGCAACCCGGATTTATCTTCGTCTCAGACGATTCAAGAGGCTCAAGGCGGATGACTGCCTGGTCATTGCCTACTTATCCTCTGCCTTGCTTGCTCACTCTTATGGACCGTCTTGGCCCAGAACCTTTATCTCATGATTGAAAATGTCGATGACTTCGACCTATCTGTGGCCATGACTCTTATGGACAAGGCCACCGAAGGTCTTCGCGGAATCATAGCAAGCTACATGTGTACTTGGACATCGTTGTGGCTCATCAAGCTGGCCTTTATGGTCTTCTTTCACGGACTTGGGAAGCAGATTCGGCATCAGCAAATCCTGTGGTGGTGCGTGCTCGTCTACATTCTGGCGAGCTACGGTGTCACAATCGGCATGCTGGACTTTCAATGCTTCGCCGCCAGTTGATTTGACATCATCGGTTAGTGGAGGCTTCCCTCGCTTGATATTGATAGCTGACTGACTCTTACAGTAAAATGTCGAGCGACAGACATCAAGAATGTCGCAATCACTCGGAGCTACGTTCAGATGGCCATGGATATCTCGTCAGATGTCTTGGTTGTTGTGGTTTCCGGCAATATCGTCTGGCGCGCATCCATACCTTGGAAGAAGAAGCTCATGCTTAGCGGGATCTGTTGTCTCACTGTTGCCATGTTGGTGGCAACGATTATGTGAAACGCGTATGGCCATCAATCCACCTCCCGGGCCTAAGTTGGATGTTGTTGTGGACGATTGAGATGACATTGAGTGAGATTGATTCGTATTGACAAGGAGCAGGTCTAACATGTAGATTTCACAGCAATCACGGTCGCCCTGTGCCGGCTCTTTCCGAAGCCTTTACTCCCATACAAAGCGAACACTGCAAAAAGACAGCTACAAAATGCACAAGTCGTCTGCTTTCTCCAAGGAAAATAAGAGCTTTGGAGCAACCGAGACGATGCTCACTGCCGAGCTCTCTCTCTGGGAACGGAGCGACTTGGAAGACCAAGCTCGAGCGCAGAGCGAGGAGACGCTGTGGGACACCAACACAGCCGTCTATGCTCCACACACCTTTCGGCCTACTCATGCGCCGGCTGCCCCAAAAGAACCAAAAAGCAACAGGCCGCAGATACAGGTACACGAAGTATAGCATGGCTTGTGAGGAATCACAAAGAAATGGATAATGGTGTATTGTGTCCAATGATTGGTTCGGGGTGAGTGGAGAAAAGCCCCACCGATGATTAATTTATTCTGCCTTCTCCCACTTGCTTACTCACTCACCCGTGGTAAGATAAGACCTCCGCGCGCCATGTCATCAGTCTCGCAACTAGGTAGTTCAACATTCTCAGCTGGCGATCATATCTGATGGCAGACAAACCAATCCTCGTTCTGGGCTCGACCGGGCCCTCTGGTATCTGCCTTCTCCGCGAGCTTCTTCATCGCAAGAAGCGAGTTATCGCCTTTGTGCGCCCAACCTCCGCTTCCAAAATCCCAGCCGATCTCGTGTCTTCCAACCCCGACAATCTTCAGGTGGTGCATGGCCAGATCGACGATGACGCAACCCTCGGTGAAGCCGTTGCTCAGTGCAGCGCAATCATATCCCTCATGGGCCCAGTCCAGGAGTCCATGTCGTCTCGTACACCACTTCCATATCCGGCATTCTACGAAAACCACGTGCTGCCCGTGATGAAGAAGCACGGGATCAAGCGCATTGCTGCAATGGGCACGATCTCCATCTATACAGAGGACGACACTGCCGTCTTTTCGAGGTGGATTCTGCGAACAGGCGTGAGCTGGATGTTCCCAGCCGCATATAATGCCATGCTTGGGATTGCTAGTGTTTTCAAGGAGGAAGCAGACATCGACTGGACCATCTTTAGGTTGCCCATGCTCCTGGGAGGAAGCGATGAGACGGCTTGGAAGGCGGACCGTGAAAAGGGTGAGGCTCAAGCTGGCCCGGTGAGCAACGCCTGGACGGGAAAGTTGAACAGATCAATTCTGGCCAAGTGGCTCACCGACTGGGCTGAGAATGAGGGAAAATGGGTACGAGAACTGCCTGCTTTGAGTAGCTGATTGTTATGTTGAGTATTGAAGAATAAAAGATTGCTTGTAGATACATCCGGGTTCCCCATCCTCGACCCTCAACAGTAACGATTGGTCCGCAGCCAGTTGCACATGACGGTCCCAACACACGTGCAACACATGCAAGCCTAGCAATATGTCAGCACCTTGAGGTCAACACATCAAATCTTTGGGCCAAGTCTACCTTTCTCTTTCTTTCGGCATCATCCTTGCCTTCGATACATGACAATGTTCGCGCGCTGTTGAACCGGTACATGTTGTAGCACGCATTAGGGTTGATAACATCGGCGCATTCATCTGTCCTGGCGAGCTCTCGTGTGCACTCCTGCATCGACTGTCCTAGGGACGTGGAAGCCCACAGGGCGAGGAGGCCGAGGGACAGCTGCATCGTGTGTTTGGTGAAGGGCAGAGTGAGTAGGGACCGATGTGGTGATGTGGAATCGCACACAACCTCGCTTGAGACGCATGTTCAGATATACTTGCTGGATTCCACTCGCGCTGAGGGTGTGGCTTAATGACAAGGCGACCCCGTCGGCAATGGGTCCGGCGCATGGTTTGTGATTATACCCAGTCGGCAGTTTTCCTGTCGAATGGGAATACAGCCGCTCATATAGCACCTCTCTTGACTAGCCAACCAGGAGGCCGAGGAGTCGACGCCGGGTCAATCTACAAAGTGATTATTGGCAGGGAATAGTCACAGTAGGACTCGGGCTATGCGTCATGGGATCTGGACTGAACAGAAGCTGGGCTCAGTACTATTGCCACTTCTCCAACTCCCGGGGTTGAGATGCGCATGGCATATTAACCGTCATCAAAACCCACTATCGCTCGGTTCACGAACCGAAATATAGTGCTACTCTATTAAACAACACGTCTAGAAGGCCTAATTAAGAGCACCTATCTAATTCGTGGATAGACTGGTATTGTTAGATCGGCAGTCATTGTTCTAAGCAGGTTGAGCATTTCCACTGCCATATCTACTCCAGCCCTTTCACACTCTTTTCAGTCTGATCCTCCTGCTGGTTTTGGTCAAGAGATCTCCTGTGTGCCTATTCCCTACCATCCACGCCATGAAGTGGAAAGCCATTATCGCAGCATATGGGATGATGTAG